AATTGATTCAAACCAGATGCGACACAGAAAATCTCAGTCTCGTCCCAGAAGTGGCTCGCTGCATTTCACCATTGAAGGAAGGATTGGGTTTTAATTTTGCTGCGAGTCACTTTTGGGACGTGTTATCTTCGGCAGTTAACATAGGGCCAGACAGGACGGCATCAGTGTCAAACGTCCGGAAAGTTTCAAAATAAAAGACTACTGCAGCGATGTGATTTCTTATCTATGTAGACTACGTCAATACATGTGAACTAACAGCTTATTTACTCCCAGCATCTTTCAAGAAGTGCAACAGTCCTGGCAGTGGAGAGGCGCACCATTATACATCACATCAAACAGTGATGTAAAATGTGATGGCTTTCTTCTTCTTGGTTTAATGGTGGATGGTATAAACAAACCATGACTTTTGAAGTCTTGAGGGATGTTGTGATCTCGCGAGTCTTGCTTGGAGGACTACGGAGACGCCAGGCTGCGTCTGAAACACTGCCCGGTGTGGACTGATGCGTCGCAAAGCACACGAATAAACCCTCCCGCTGCCGTTCTGCCCTGCTGATGCATCTAGTGTGTGGAGCCAAGGTTAGATTAGCATTTTAGAGGACATCATATACTACTGGCAAATCACAAGAGGGAAAAAGCCTGCTCAGGCCACAAGGCTGACTCTTCTAGTTTAGTTTACGGAAAACAAGTCTGTTCACGAGTGACGGAAAGATGGAACGCAAGATCGATAGGTAGATTGGTGATGCGTCTGTAGGGATGGGGGCACTGTACTGGTCTGTTGTGGTGAGAGAGCTGAGCTAGAAGGGGATGCTCTCGATTTACATTCCTACCCTCACCTATGGTGTTTGGGTAGTGACCGAAAGAACAAGATTGTGGATACAAACGGTCAAAATGAGTTTCCTCCGCAGTGTCTGGGCTCTCCCTTAAAGGGACTTTTCAGACTTTTGAATTTTTATGCTCGTGATTGCCCCCTCAGGCCAAAAGCGTAATGGCAGCTTCAATAGTAGGCTCGTGCACGAGGCACGCATGCTGTACGTGCACACTTCTTAACAAAAATAACAGCTGAGACAGTCCCGTGTGTGTGTGTGGCCCAGAGGACAGAACACAGCAAATTAATAAAATAATGTGCCTCTGTCTCTGCAGCTGCACGTTCTCGTCGGCCGGCCAAACGTGCAGTGTGTGTGTGTGTGTGTGTGTGTGGGGTGTGTGTGTGTGTGTGTGTGTGTGTGTGTGTGTGTGTGTGTGTGTGTGTGTGTGTGTGTGTGTGTGTGTGTGTGTGTGTGGCCCAGAGGACAGAGAACAGGAGAACACGTAGCTAATTAATTAAATAATTTGGTTCTGTACCTTTCTCTTCAGCACAGCCGACAAAGGTTTAAGATGGGTCAGTCCTCCTGCATGCTCAGATCATTCCCTTCCCTTGCTTGAAAAATTGTTCCAAAATGAAAGTTGAATCCACATCTTTTTTATCTGTGAATTCAATGCCGTTCGCAGAGTCTCAAATAAAAAGTTGGGTGTAAAAAATATAACATTAACGTAAAAAATAAACTCCAAATAAACTATGTTCACACCCGGAATCGGACCCAGGTCTTCAGCATGAGAGTTAGCCATCTTACTAGGTGAGCTTTAGCACCAGTAAAATTTGACTTATCTGTAACATTTATATCCTTGATGACACCTGAAACAACGTTAATCCAAAGAACGGTTCGGAGCGAAAATGGCTATTTTGTTGATAATTTGCAGGACATATTTAGAAGAAAGTTCTACAGAAAGTAGCTAAGGGTCCTCAGAAATGTAGCTAGGTTCATCACTAGGCGTTAGGAACAGCGACAAAGTCGCTGAGTTGGCACTGCCTCACTCTTTGCTGCTAAAGCTACGGATAGCAAATGCTACGGGCTATGGCTGAGCGTGAACGCGCATGAAGCAGCCTGCTCGACCCGAGCAGCTCTCTTTTTCTGTGATTTTACAGAAAAACAGGCAATCACAGTAAAAATACCAGGGCTCATTCTACAGGACCAGGGCAGTGCAGGAGAATGTATGAAGAAGAAATTTATTATTTCTATACGTTTTGAGTGTCAAACTTCCTTATAGTCCCTTTAAAGATAGGGTGAAAAGCTCGATCATCCTAGAGGAGCTTGGAGTACATTTGCTGCTCCTCCACATCAAGAGGAGCCAGTTGAGGTGGCTTGGGCATAGGGATGGGTACCTTTGACATTTGAATCGATCCGGTACTAATTCCCGGTACCTAGGAATCGATACCGGTACTTAACGGTACCAATTTTCGATACTTTTGAGTGTTTAATATTTTAATTCTCTTTTATAATTAAATATATATTTTTCTTAATATATAACCATATTTGATAAATATCACGATAAATGACATACAACTGTTTGTATTTTAACATCGTCCTTGTAGTTTTATAAGCTGATAATTAAACTGAAGCAAACATCTTTACTGTGAACTAACTTTACTGTGTATCTTCATTCCTTTTACTGTCCTTTTTCAATTGATTTTTCCTACTGGGAAGTTAGAATTTCCGAGGAGAAAGCGAACGCACCATTAGCTGATAACAATGGTGGCATAGGAAGCTAACATATCAAGCTAATGTTATCTTTAACAGTTTACTTAACTGCTGGAGCAGATTAAAACGATGATGCCTCACACTTAAATCGTTGTCACTGGTTTCATCTTCACCCAATCACCCGTCGCATTTAGTAAAGTGAAGCCAAACTTTAGAGCGCGTTCATGTTCTTCTAGTCGGAATTTCGGAGTTCCGAGGAGAAAGCGAACGCACCATTAGTGAAACGGAAGCTAACAAATCAAGTTAATGTTATCTTAAACATTTTATTTACCTACCGGAGCAGATTAGGATGAGGATGCCTCACTTAGATCGTTGTCGCTGGTTTCATCATCACCCAGTTACCCATCACATTTAGTGAAGTGGACCCAAGCTTTAGCGTTCGTTCTTTCTACCATGCTGCTCTGTTTACAACTCGCTTGCAGCGACCAATGACATAACGTTCTTGCGCATGCGCAGCTGTCTAGGCTAGTTCTCGTTGTGAAGGACGGTACCGAAATGAGGCACCGTTTCAAATGAAGTGAATCGGTGCTCGGTTGGTACTATGGAATTCGGTCGATACCTTAAAAAGTACCGAATTCGGTACCCATTCCTACTCGGGCATCTGGTTAGGATGCCACCTGGACGCCTCCCTGGAGGGATTATGTCTCTCGGCTGGCCAGGGAACACATTAAGATTCCTCTGTAGGAGCTGGCCCAAGTAGCTGGGGAGAGGGAAGTCTGGGCCTCTCAGCTTAAGCTGCTGCCCCCGCGAACCGACTCCAAAGAAGCGGGCAAAAATGGATGGATGTGTGTTAGCAGATAGCCCTTCATGGGCTGTGAAACGTTGACAGTTCAGGGACTACGGATGACTTTACCAAATGTGGTAAAAGAATATATTTTAAATTCTGACCTCTAAGAATGATGACCCCAAAATAAACCATCAGCATGGCAAAAAGTAGCCAATAGTGCATTCAATTAAGAATATGAGAGTAAAGTTTCTAAATATTGCTAGATTATAATTGGGCCTTTCTCTGATGAGAACCAGTGGAAAATCAAAATGTCAGTCTTAAATAGTTTAGACATTTTATATCTGAAGTGAAGTGACTTCATCACTGTTTGACTTTTCAGCTGAAAGAAAATAAAAGCAGAGCTGTGTTTTAAAACTAACAATGACTTAAGCAGAGAAAGAGTAATCGTTGTAGCTGTTGATGTCCGTCTAACATCACCAAAAGTCGGCAACAACAAATCTGAATTTGCAAACTTCTGATTAAAAAGCTGATCACAGTTTGCAACCTGGGTCAGGACTTCAGTATTCTGTGCTGCCTGAGGTCAGCAGGGAGACGTGTCAGGAGCAGGGTGCAAGGAGGAAAGTGTGGCAAGATGTCCAGTGCTAAAAACAGCCAATAAACTCTGAGGTCAACTCTGCTCTTCCCAAACGACATTAGGTATCACTGGGTTTACTGTGAATGAGGATCTATGGTAAGCATGTAAATATCAGCAGATATAGTGGTATATATGGGTCAGATATAGAGCTGGAGAGCTGCTGGGTACCCTGTTATAGTTTATGAAGAAACTTTAACAACTTTTTTTTGCTAATTTTTGTATTTATTTCCAAAGCAGGAGGAAAAACAAACAAAATTCTGACTGAGACAGGAGTTTAGCAATAAGGGTGCCTTAAAAACACCCAACCTAAACTATACTACAGTTTAAAGAGCATCACCAGCAGTTTGCTTGTTTTCCCTACACAACTGAATTAATTACATTTTTTCCATATTCTCTCTCCAGCTCCACATGACAAACAAAATGTGTTCCTCTAAGTAATGGCGTTTTGCATAGCAGCTGTTTTAAACTGTAAAAAACACATTCCTTTGTGCACATCAAAATATTTTAGCAAACAAACCACAACCCCATCCGAACCCAACCAGACGAAAGATGGATGTTCAGGAGGTTACTCTCTGCCACAGAGTGGTTTGATTAACAAGCTTAAGATTGTTTTTAAGACCTGGATAAAAATCCCTCTTTATCCTTCATGTTTACGTAGACTTTAAAGGTAGGGCTGGCACAGCTAACAGTTATTTCCAACTCAAACTTATCAAACTTTCTCTGAAATGAACTTTAGACGGTCTCATTTGATTTTAAGATGCATATACCAGGATTTTAAATTATAGCTCAGACAAACAGTCTTGATCTCGTCAAAAGAAAACAGAACAGACATTGATGAACACATTATTTCCCCTCTGAGTCATAGAAATGAGTCTAAATGTGTTTCTTTGAAGACTGACTGCTTTGTTAGTGAAGCTTATTTTGCATCCATCCCACAAGTTCTTAGGATGTGGCTTATGTGTTCAACAGGCCAGCAGTGCCCCCATCAGGCCATAGTAGTATATTACATGTTTTAAAGCAGAATGTGGAGGACCTGCTAAGTTTTTCTAACTAAAAACCGTACCTGCGACTGGTTTTCTTCCCAGGCTCCTCCTCTCTGGGCTCAGCTGAGCTCTCGGCTCCTTTTTCTTTCTTGAGCTTTTTACTGACCAGTTCTCTTATCTTCTTCTTCCTTTCTGGATCATGCTCTTCATCTGCACATGCGTCATCCTCATCATCATATGCCTCGTTGTCTGACTGAAGAAAGAAAGGGTGGAATTAAAACACAAACTCAGAGCTGTGAACATCTTTTGAGTTTTCCTTTACACTTACATCACTGTCGTTTCCAGATGCCCCCTTCTCTTTGTCTCTTTAAAAGTAAGGGAACTCGACTTTAGCATTAGAGAGCAAGAATTCCAGGTTAGTGGTGATAAATTAATAATTTACGACTCATACTTATCAACAGCTGGAACTGAGCTCAGTCTGGGATCGTCCTTCAGAAGGTCGTGGCTGCTTTTGCTTTTTCCTTTAAATGTCTGAAGAAATGGAAAAATTTGACACTTTTTTTTTTTTACTTACACATAAACCTATAAGTGAAATATGTAAGAATGATGTAAAACTGACATCCTGTGGTCAAAATAGGTTACTGCTGGCCATTTTATAAGCAAACAGTAATTTTCTCACTCCTGTTGCGTGAGTTTCATGGCTGTTATCATACACAGGAAGTGGATAAGCAGGGGCAGCAGTAGCTCAGGAGGCAGAGCAGGTTGTCCAATAATCAGAGGGTTGAAGGATCAATCCTGACTCCCGACCGAGATTTCTGCTGTTGTGTCCTTGGGTAAGACACTTAACCTGCCTTGTCTGCTGGTGGTGGTCAGAGAGACTGGAGGTGCCCGTGAACAGCAGCCTCACCTCTGTCAGTGCGCCCCAGGGCAGCTGAAGCTACAATGTAGCTCATCACCATCAGTGTATGAATGTGTGTGTGTGAATGGATAAATGATGCACTACAGTGTAAAGCGCTTTGGAGTCCTTTGACTCTGAAAGGTGCTACACAAGTGTGGGTAATTTATTATTTATTGGGGCAGCAGTAGCTCAGGTGGTAGAGCGGGTTGCCTCATGATCGGAGGGTCATGGGTTCAATTCCAGCTCCCGCCAGGGGTATCCTGCTGTTGTGTCCCTGGGCAAGACACTTCACCCAACTCGCCTGTGTTAGTGGTGGTCAGAGGGGCCGACGGCGCCAAATGGCAGCCTCGCCTCTGTCAGACCTCCCCAGGGCGGCTGTGGCTACAAGTAGCTTACCATCACTAGCAGTGTGTGAATGTGAGAGTGTGTGAAAGCATCTTTGGGGGTCTTGAAAAGCGCTACATAAGTTCAATGCATTATTATTATAATTATTATTATTATTTAAGTAGATGAACAGATTGTCATATCTGGTGTTAGCACTCTTGGGTGTTTTACGGCAGGGACCAGTTACTACACTTATTACGGTATCTGACAATATAGGAAGTGTAGTTTTTTGCGGTCTTGCTGTGATAGTTCTGAACGACTCATTAAATGAAGTAAAACGCCACGATTGACTCATTATTCACTTCACACACACATTTCACTGTAATATTGAGTTGTTGCTGAATGGAAAAGTAGCTTGAGCTGTTCCCTTTCAGTCGATTCACTCGGTACAACACATATAGTATGGGATATCATGCCCTCGCGTGGTCTGACTGACACCTTTAATCACGCCTTTAGGCCACATGACGTGTGACATAGGGGGCAGGGTCCATCTGCATATAAATACCCCTACTCACACATCATGCTCCAGTTCTTACGCTCTTCACCTCGCTGGAACACCTCCCACTCAACCTTTGCTAGCTAGCTACTGCTAGTTATCACTCTTCTTCGCTGTTTTTTGGAGCTAACTTAACTGTTCGTGTTGAACTAGACCTCTGCCTGCTGGTAAGTGTGCCTACTCGCAGAGCGGTAGCACCGTTAAACCTCGCCAACACCTTTGCTGATGGACCTTGTGGTTCGCAATTAGCACCAGGTCTGACCCAAAGAAGCAGAAATCCACTATATGACCCTGCCCGCAGGGATGTGGCTTCACGCGTCACGACAAGGATCTACATGAAGCTTGCCCTGTTTGTCTAGGTATTGTCCACACCAGGAGAGCGTTGACAAAGCCGGACACATGTTTGTTCTGCAGCCAGCTTAAGCGCTTGATGCTGGAAAGCAGGGTCAAGTTTGTTCTCAAGGTCCTGGGGGAGGCTGCTGCCTCCACACAGGATCCTATGCTCTCCGAGTCGAGAGACCTGGCTTTGATGAGGGCGGCTGCCTGGTCACAGTCCCCGCTTCCAACTGGGCGGACCAAATGGACTTCATGGAAGGGCTACCCAAGAATCAGGATTCCCTGGCTCCTCCACACATGAGTCCAATAGAGGATGAGGACGACGATGTTCTGGACATCCACACGGATGACCGGAGTATATCTGGAGATGATGATTTCTCCGCGGCTCAGTGTGCGACTTTTACCGCCGCTGCCGCCTCCTCTCCAGTAACCCAGGACGACCTGTTGTTTATTCCCCATTTCTGTCGTGCTGCAGAAAAACTGGACGTGGGATGGCCTGCTCCTCCTTTGGCCCAGAAAACCTCCAGACTTGCAGGGTTTTTTCTCCCATCGGAGCCAGCTGCAGTCAAGAACCGGCTGCCCATGTTCCCAGATTTTGTGATGGAGCTACAGTCCTCCTGGAACACGCCACTGTCCACACGCACTATCGTGCCTGGTTTTGCCCAATATGTGGACCTTGAGGGCGCTGAAAAAGCCGGTCTGGTTGAACTTCCTTTAATGGAACCATCTCTGGCAGCGTATCTGGCACCATCGCATAATCTGGGTGCGAGTGGCTCCGCAGCCCTGCCCTCCAAACACCTGCAGGTTTTCAGCATCCCAGCTGGAAAAAATCTACCAAGCTCAGGCGACCACCGCTCGCACTCTTGACTTCGGCTACCATGCTGCAAACTTATCAGGCTATGTGCTTGTTGGAACTGGGCAGCCATGTGCCTCCTGACAGCCCCCTCACTCCCCTACTGAACGAGATTCGAGTAACAGCTGACTACACTCTTCATACGTCCTGCTGCGCAGCGCTCTCGCTGGGGAAAGGAACAGCGTCAACAGTGGTAGCCCAGAGGCACCTGTGGCTAACTGTCTCGGATGTCCCGGACAGGGACCGGGCTGTGTATTTAGACGAGCCTGTGTCTTCTAAGGGACTTTTTGGGCAGTCCTTGGACGCTATACAAGCAAAGTTTGAGTTCCGAAAGAAACAAACCGAGGTGCTCCGCTGCATCAGTCCCAGACGGGACGCAAGAGGGAGGCCCGGTCCGAGCTCACACAAACCAACGACCACCCCACCACCAACCAAGAGGATGAATGCGCCTGCAGCCACAGGAAATGTGCCTCAGCAGCCACAAACCCAGTTGCAAGCTCCTTGTCAGTCGGCCTGGAGCAAAGGCCCACACTCTAACTTCAAGCGAGACTCTTCGTCTCGGCGGAAGAAGACGCACTCGTCCTAGCAACGAGCTACCATCTCCATTTGGACCTCCGGAGCAGGCAGACATCCAGCCTGTTTTCAGACCATGCAGTGCATGCGTTCAGAGGCCCCAGCCCCAAACGGCGCTGCGTTCCCCACACAGTCTCCCAAGCATTTCCCCCCAAAACAAACGATTGTTTATTCAATAAAGAATGTGTTAATAAAGAAAAAACAAAACATAAAACTCTAAATCAACCATTAACTGCGTGCTTAAGGGCATGTTAGTTCACAGAGCTGTCTCTCCCCGCTCCGGTAGAGGGCAGCACCTCCCCGCCCGTGACACGACAGGTCCGTCGTCTCACAGAGCATTTCTCTCACTGGCGCACATGCGCCCCATCCCCATGTGTAGAGAGGACGGTTGCTATGGGTTACTGGTTGCAGTTCCGGGTCAGACCACCACGTTTTCGCTCAGTCGTAAAACACGACCGTGGGATTGGAAGCGGCAACCGTATTGAGAGAGGAAATAAATACCCTACTGGGAAAGGGAGCAATACGTGCGGTCCCAGCTTCGGACAATACAAATAACAATAATACAGTACAATACAAATAACACAAAAGCCCAAAAAATAAAGATAAAAAAACTCACCTGCTAATGCTGCTATTTTCTTTCACTAATCATTCTTGCAACTCATGACTTGGTGAACAATGCATTTCAGTCATTTGTGGATTTTAGTAAATCTTCAAATCCAAAATCATACGACTTTAATGACGTTGTGGTGTATATTTAAAAAAATTGTTCAGTACCTGACTAACTTGAGTCACCATCTCCTCCTCTTCTTCAGCTTCTTCTCCAAATGATAACAGACTGAAGTTCCTACAAAAATATCTTTTGTTAGTGATGAAGAAGCTTTCTATACCGTTGCCAAAATCTTAATTTAAGCACTGTCAAGGTGAGTTTTTAGGAATTTCCAGAACCTTATGCTTCTGTAGATTGACCAAAAAAATGACCAGTAAACATAAAATAATTGTAGTAAAAATGCGGCTAAAACCGAAAGGAATTTGCACGCGTTTCATCTGAATTTTTAAGTTTCTGATCAAAATCTCTAGAGACAAACAGGAATGTCTAAAAAGTTAAGAAGAAAATGTCCTGACAGACCAGGACACCATCGGTTTTTATTTAGTGTGCATATTCAGGTTCAGGTAAACCTCGGGAAGGTTCCTCTTGGAAAAACTGTTTCACCTAGAAAACTAATTTGGAAAAGAACTATAATAAATAATTTAAATATACATTTGAAACCATGAACGAACCCACTGGTCTTATAAATGTTATGGCGCTACAACCAGGGCTTAATTTGAGCCGGATCTTGCCGGAACAAGATCCGGGAACTATCTTATTTTGAAAGAACCGTTCCGGCCACTGGAACTGGAAGCGGACTGGGACAGTAATTCAGGCTGGGAATTTTTAAACCATACCAGGCCACCGCCCAATTCACGCTAAACACTAAAAGTGGGTCAGGTTGGGCGCCTACTGATGTAAAAGTGTAAAACAACTAAATTAAAACTTCACATGTGCCCTGATTCTTCCCTCTTGTGTTCTGCTGCTATAATTTCTGCTTATGTTGCATAAACTGAAATTCTATTTTATTCTGTTAAACGTGCCTTCTGCACATTAGATGAAATAGGCCAGACACCATCATCCACCTGAATTTAAGACATCTGGGTCAAGAGAATCACACCACAAGCATGACAGTGTAATATATATATATATATATATATATATATATATATATATATATATATATATATATATACAAACAACAACAAAAACAATTTGAATGAAAAGGGGCAGAAAGAAGAAATATCTTATATTATCTGCCCCTATTTACAAACCAAATTTTTTAATAATGCTTCCATACAATTCTCAATAAACAACAAAACAAAACGAAACACAGATTAATTTTATATTCTTTTAACTTACAGACCTAATCAGACACCAACTGAATTTAGGTTATCATAGTTCTGTAATACACTTGATTTGATACATTTTTAAAATAAATTTAGTGACTTTGATTCTTTTATGTTTTTGGTAAGGTTGTTCCACATTCTCACGCCATTTACAGAGATAGTCATTTCCTTCATTCTGGTTCTAAATTTCGTTTTTTTTAAACACTTCAGTTCCTTTTATGAAATCATTACGGACTCTTTTTTCAAACATTTTATGAATGTTGGTGGGTAACGTATTGGTTTTAGCTTTATACATAGTTTGCAATATTTTCATATTCACTAGATCATAAAATTTCAGTAGTTTATATTTGATGAATAACGGATTGGATGGATCTCTATAGTGATTGTTATTAATGATTCTCAATGCTCTTTTCTGTAGAATAAACAGTGGTTGTGTATGAGTTTTACATGTGGATCCCCATTTTTCTACACAGTAAGTCAAGTATGGAACAATTAGTGAGTTATACAATGTCAGCAATCCAGAACTATTCAGTAAAAACTTAACTTTATGTAGTACTGCAATGGCTTTGGCAATTTTACCTCTGATATAACCTATGTGTGACTTATAGCTTCATCAAACATGACTCCTAAAAATTTCGTTTCTTTCACCCTTTGAATGTCCATTCCATTTATTTTAACATCTTTGTTGTCTCTGTCATTAAACAATATAAAATTTGTTTTATTAAAATTCAGTGAAAGTCTGTTTATGTCAAACCAGTTGTTAACTTTTATCAGTTCATCATTTATCGCTCTAGTTACTTCATTAATATCTGACCCTGAATAGAACAATGTTGTGTCATCAGCAAATGAAACAGTACCGAGTAGCTTAGATACACTTACAAGATCATTAATAAATGGTATGAACAGTTTAGGTCCAAGGACCGACCCTTTTGGCACACCATAATTAATCTCCTGCAGTTCTGATTTAGTGTTGTTTAGTTGGACAAATTGTTTTCTATTCTTTGAATAACTTCTAACCCATTGATGCGCCACACCTCTTATTCCATACTGATGAAATTTCTGAAGTAACCTCGAGTGATCGATAACATCAAAAGTTTTCTTCAAGTCAACAAATATACTGATGAAGTAGTTTTTATTGTCTATTGCTGTAGATATTTTGCCTATTAGTTCCATTATTGCCATTGCAGTTGAATGTTTGGTCCTAAAACCATACTGTTCATTATTTAAAATATTATTTTCTTCAAGGAATTTATCCAACCTTGATACAAATATTTTTTTTTATTATTTTGGAAAACTGTGGAAGCAGTGACACTGGACTGTAATTGTGTTTATCCCCACCCTTAAACAATGGAACCACCTTAGCAATTTTCATTGTGTCAGGGAAAATTCCTGTTGAAAGTGACAGATTACAGACATAAGTAAATGGATCAACAGATTCGATTATAGCCTTTACAGTCATCACATCCAAGTCCTCATAATCAGTTGATTGTTTGTTTCCACTGCTTTTTACAATGTTCCTTATTCTTTAACATTATAAACTACTGTCTTCAGTTTATCTTCTATTATTGGTTTGTTACTTGCCAAATTCGCACATACATTTACAAAAAAAAAATCATTAAATTCATCAGTGATTTCTTTAACATTATGAATGTCTTTATTCTCCTTGACAAAGTAATTAGGAATTACTGATTTTGTTTTATCTTTATTTGTCACACTATGTATTATTCCCCATGTAGCTTTTGTTATCTTTATTCTTATTCAATAGTTCACCATAGTAATTCTTTTTTTGTTTCCTAATTATCGTTGTTAATTTATTTTTATATTTTTTATATTTGTCTTCAGCTTCTTTTGTTTGCAATTTTAAGAAACACCTATACAATTTATTTTTCTTTGCACAAGCATTTTTTATTCCTTTAGTCATCCATGACTGGTTTTTCCTTTTACCATTACTTTTTATTAACTTACAATTTTTATTATATGATTCCATCAATAACTTCATAACAGATGTATACGCAGCGTTGACATCTTTGACATATACTTTTTTCCAGTTTTGTTTATTAAGATCTTTATTTAGTGCTTCCAGTGCTTTAACGGACTTATTTATTTCGTAATTTATAGTAATATTTTTATTGAACAAATGTTTATATTTAAATATAGCAAAAACAGGTAAATGGTCAGTAATATCGGTCATCAGTATCCCACTCCTCATAACATCATCCTTTTTGTTTGTGAAAATATTATCAAGGATCGTAGCACTGTGAGATGTGATTCTGGTTGGTTTATTAATCAGGGGGAATAAACCTAAACTAAACATTAAATCAACAAAGTCCATTGACATTCTTTGTTCCTCAGGGTTTTCTAAATTCATATTAAAATCTCCACAAATTAACCAGGTTTTGTTTCTAATTTGATCAGCCAGCTCCATCATCTTGTCAGTAAATTACATGACACAAGACCCAGGTGTCCTGTAGACACAGCTAATTAAAATAGTTTTTGCATTTTCATTAATAATTTCCACTATCACCATTTCTATAACATTGTCCTCCATCACTGTCATTTCTACTACTAATTTACACTTAAGATCTGATTTAATAAACAAGGCAACACCACCACCTCTTTTATTTTTTCTATTTACAAAATAAAGCTCATATCCATCTATTTGAACATCATCCATAATGTCATCATTAAGCCAAGTCTCTGTAATAGCAATCACACTGAATTGATTTTTTAATTTTCTTAGATAATCTCTTATTATTGGCAGCTTACAAAACAAACTTTGACTGTTGAAATGGATGAGTGATAGCGTATCTTCCATAATTACCCCACTATTTAAATTTTCTTCTTCATAATAATCACAACTTATATTTAAATCAAGTAAACTTTCATCTATTTTACTATCCAAGTCATATATTTTGTAATTTGAATCTATTATAGAATGTTTATTTATTTATTAAATTATTTATTTATTTATGTTTTTATATATATTTTTTGCTATTGTGAACCCCGACTATCACACTCTTGTCTATTCTGTTTTGTATTTTTTTAGGTCATCAATGTTTCTGATTTGTACACCATTAGTTCTTTCTTTTTCTCTTATCCATACCCTGCAGTTCCAGACCCATGTAGCAACAATATGTTTCTGTTTTTTTAATAGTCTTGCTTCCCTAGCGATGTCACCATTCTTTTTTGTTAGATGTTCATTTATGTAGACATTTGTTCCTTTCAATTTTTTTTGCCTGCCTCAGTAAGTCATTTTTGTGTTTCCTGCTTGTGAATCTTATTATAATAGTCGATGTTTTATTAGTCGATGTTTTATTTTTACCACGTTTAAATGGAATAGTATGACAATTTGATATTTCGTCCTGTTGAATGTTGATACCTTTTTGATGGAAGAAGTCTGTGACTTGCTGCTCCAATGTTAGTAGTTCATCTGGTGGTAGACTCTCTCCTCTAGCTCCATCTGAGTCCACCACCCGTGCATACGAACGATGCTTTGTCTCCAAGCCGGATATTACTACATCCTCTATTCTAGAGTGTTGCTCAACATCATCCACTCGTTGTTCCAGCTTCTCAATAAGTTTGTCTTTTTCCACTATGATGTTTTCATGTTTATGTTTATGTATTTAGCAGACACTTTTGTCCAAAGCGACTTACAAGTGATAATCGGCAAGTTGCCCTTGAGGCTAACAACAACAATAACAACAACTTGACATCAATCATGGAGAGGAGGGAACAAAGGAGTGGACGGTAGAGAGGGGGGACGGGTGCAAGGAAGGTGCTAGTTAAGAAGATGCTCTCTGAAGAGCAGGGTCTTCAGGAGTTTCTTGAAAATTGAAAAGGAAGCCCCTGTTTTGTTAGTGCTTGGTAGGTCATTCCACATTTGTGGAACGATGCATGAGAAGAGTCTGGATTGTCCTGAGCGTGGTGTAGGCACTGCTAGCCGACGATCCTGTGATGACCGGAGCGACCGGGCAGAGACGTAAGCCTTTGCAAGAGGATTCAGGTAGATGGGAGCCGTACCATCTTGGACTTTGTATGCTAGTGTTAGCAATTTGAATTTGATGCGTGCTGCTAGCGGTAGCCAGTGGAGCTCAATGAACAGAGGGGTGACGTGTGCTCTTTTGAGTTTTTGAGCTGTTTAATTTCATCCAACAGTCTGCTCAAGGATGACTTTTCTCCAGATATTCGATTCACTGATGTTTTTATCTCCTCTATATCCTCCTCAAGTTTTTCCATTTTCCTTGGTGGCGCCATCTCATCCACTATAGTCTATGTGTTCAAGTCAACCACAATCAACCACCTCCCAGTTAAATCCTGCACATTTTAGATGGATCCAGGTACAGCACCTGGAGTTGGGCTAGGTAGTTCCTGGTGTCGATTCTGACAGATCCAGGCCTAGCAGATGAAGAAGGATCCTGATAGCTTGGCCTGGTAGCTGGTGATGACAGCTGAGCCGGGCGTGGTAGCCAGGCCTGGTGGCTGGTGTTGAGAGGATTTGTGGACTCTAAGTTGTGTGTTTCCACTGTGGACTGGAGTCACGAGTTCCCCAGTAGAGCCTGGTCTGGTGGCTGGAGCAGAGCCCGTAGCTGGAACAGAGCCCGATCTGGTAGCTGGAGCAGCACCTGGGCGTGAAACTGGTGTGTGTGTGTGTGTGTGTGTGTGTGTGTGTGCGTGCGTGCGTGCGTGCGTGCGTGCGTGCGTGCAGGGGGTCTCACCATTGCTAAATGACTGCATCATTAGTGTCATTTAGGTTTACAACGTAGTAGGCACAGATTAAATGGACAGCCTCAACAACGGAAGAAGCCTTTTGCAGATGCACACATCTCTGACATCCATATAAACTGACAGACCAGTATATATGGATGTTTTCCTCATAATAATCATATAAAACAAATAATAATACTAGGGGTTTAAAGGCTATGAACCAAAGACAAAATAAGCCAGAGGTGAAGGTTTATGCATTTAACAAGAAATGTCATAAATGATCATTAGGGCTGACGTGAAGTCTAATCCAGATTAGTCCAGGTCAGAATTATCATCTCATCTGTCTCATGATCAGCAGCAGCTGGATGTTTATGGCCACAACATTTCAAGTGAAGCACACTCCTTTTATATCTTGTGTTTGCTCACGATCCATATTTCCGTTTAGAAACCGTCTCTCCTCCATGGATGTACCTGCCTGTCAGAGCGTTTAACCACTGGTTGGTCAGCTGATGCTGCTGATGGTGATGCGCGGTGCACCTCGCGGCAGTGATGCGCCTTTTGCGTAAAATGCGGCCTTCGTGGAGCTCGTGCCAGACTGCGGATGACTGATGTTAGAGGACACACAGATATCTTTTTGAAAATCTCTGAGATTTCAACTAATGAATACCTGGAAAATTTACCGGTATGCATTGTACCCTAGAAAAAGTACTGGCATGCTGAAAGGTTATTTTTAGAAGTGGCGGCGGTGCTGGTACCGGTCCAATGCACTGCTCTCTGTTCCTAAAGGATGAGTCTGATAATCTGATCATCAGAACCTAATCAGCGTGATCCGTTCCTGACAGCCGCTGTTTCTCCCTCCCCAACCCACCGCATGTGCCCAGCATTGCGAGCTGCGCGATAATTAAACTGGCCCAAAAACTCCCCCTTAAACCGGTTCTCCCAACATGACCACATGCAGGCCAGCCTGGTCGTGCATCTGTGGCCAGAGCTTTATTCTTTTTCAATCTCTCCTTTTCTGCTCCACCTTTCCTGGTCCGTCTAGGTCCATTTTGCCTCTGGGGCCAAAGGTGCGGTGGTGCACTAGCCGCTCTGGGGCGGTGGGTGTCTGCTGCGCTTTGCCAGACCCCGACAAAGTGAGAGGAGGGGGTGTCTTTGTGCCCAGTTTGCTCGGTTTGTGCGAGCACCAGGACAGCAGATGCCCTGATGAGCTGCATGACGGATTTACCATTTAGATATTACGCACGTCATGACCGGCAATCACTGAGTGAGCCAGTTTAACGGCCAAGCCACCAGGAAATCTGCCGTTTCTCCCGATTACCAGTCCGCCACTGACGAGATGTGTGTTAACGTAGAAAATGTGGGTGCAATTTTAATTACGTGTCAACCCCAACCCCCCCACCCCCATCCCCGGTGCGTGTTCGGCATCTGTTTTGCCTTCAGTGAACTTTGGTTTGACGTCAGTATTTGCGTTCCGGGAACGTTTGATTTACAAATTAAGTACTGGCTACAACCAATGTCAGCACTAGTTTCAGACACTTGGTTTATAAATTCAACACCCTGGAGATTCCTCTAAATTAAAGCATTGTCATGGATTTCAGGAAAAGACGGAACTTTAATAAAAAACAATTTATATACGTTTGGCAGCAAATCTAAAAATAAGCTGCAGAACTGACCTTGTTACAGAAAAAAACACAAAGGAAGTCAGACTACTCACTTTGTGGCCTTTGACTGGGATTTCTTTGCCTCCTCTTTGTCTTTATCCTTTTTTCCTTTTTTTGTTTCACGAGGTACGATGTCATCAAAAGGAGAGTGTAGCACCTAAACAACAAAAAGAGTCAAAAACAGCTGGTGCAAACAACAGATTATAAAAAACCCAGACAGGAGTTTAAATAAATGTACCTCGGTGGTTCTTATCTTGTGGGGATTCAGAGGCCTTTCGTCAGCATCACATTCAACTTCTGCTAATCTGAGCATGTTATAAATTGTGTCTCCGGTGACCTGCAGAAAGGAAAAACAAGCCCTTCCTGTCAAGTACAGCTGAAAATGGAAAAGTTAGAATATGGTGTAAATGTCCATTTACGTCAGTAACTCATCTTAGACTGAGAAACCATCTAAAGGCTCAGCAACCCTCTGCAGGTGTTCTGGATTCAGTAGCTGATTAGAGCGTGACACTGAATCTACGATATTGAACTTTTTCACAATATTCTAATTGTCTGAGATTTTCAATGCGGGGTTTTCATTAGCCGTAAGCTACAATCACAATTATAACAAATAAAGGTTTGGAATATCTGGTTTTGCATGGAATGAGTCTGTCTCATAGATTAGTTGACTGTTTAAAGTGACCGTGTGTATTTTCCCTGGCGATAGGGGCCAGAATATACCTTAATCATTGCAAGAAAGCTGTATTTTTGTGTTCAAGTAAGACCTTACCAACGGACGGCCATTGGGGTCAAAAATCCCTGGGAGTGCATCCTCCAGCAAAATAACAAGAACATCAGACTCCCTTTCATCACTGGCAGAAGTAAATGTGTAAAACAACATTTATTAATGCTGAAAGTTTTGTAACCATTCGTTACAAATCAGTGAATTCTTTTTGTCCTCACAGGCTTCCGTAGGAGGAAAAAGAGACTTAAACCCGTTCCATGCATTTTAGACCTGATTTTTTGCCAATATTTTTTAACAACTGGGTATCTTTTAATTCACTTACAACAATATTTCAATGGATATTTCCAGAGATTAATAGTAAAAACTACACATTGTCACTTTAAGTTGAAATAGAATAGGCTATTAATCCCACAGTGGGGAGTTTAACAAGCCACAGCAGCACATACACTTAATAAGGAAGAAGATAATAACAAAATGATAGGAGACTACACAAAGGCAGTAAGCTTCAACCACTAAAAACAACAAATAAAAAGTAAACTTGGGTTTCCAGAACTATGCAGCATTATGAACACAGATGTACATCTGGAATTGCACAAGTATAGAGCACATGCTGAGGATTGCAATGATGTTTTTGTAGGGCTGGGCAATAAATGAAAAATTTATCATTATCGAAATTTCTGACTTTTATCAAGATCATTTTTCCCATGTCAATAAATCTGATAATAAAAAAGTGAAAAGATGTGTAGGTCGGCAACGTTCATGTCCTTTTAACAAGCTGTACCACCTTGAGTCACGTAAAAATGTGACTCAACGCGATACATGTGGCAGCTCCATCTTTGTTTCTGTGCATACCTGTAGTTATCGTCCATTTACTGTTATCGCGGTGAAATCCTTAATATATTGTGATAATGATTTTAGGACATATCGCCCAGCCCTATGTTATTGTGTATAAATAAATGAACTTTTAGACCATACTCTAATAGTTTGAGTTTCACTTGTATAACCAGAGCATTCATTAACACATGCTGATCTCTTAAAGGCATACAATGCAATTCTTTCATATTTTAAAAACTTGAGCCAGTGTGTGCTAAAATGACCCTTTACGAGGTTAACTCATTCACTGCCAATGACGACTAAAGTCGTCATTTGCATTTTTTACTGTGTGGGCGTCGGAACGAGCCCCCGCACCAAGAGAACAAACATCTCCGCTCTAAAGCCGATCTTCATCTGCATACGTCACAGGTCACGTGATCAGGAAGCAGAAAATCCATGTGTTAGGAGATCCTTTTGGGCCGTTCCTGTAAAAAAAAGTGAGGCGCAAAGAAGAAAAGCTTCTGCCGATCACAATTAAACAACAGATTATGAAAGAACGGAAAACCCTCAAAACATGCGGATTCTTCCTGATGTAAGAGGTGAGTCTCCGCTTTGTTTTGGTTGTTTTGGCGTTGACATCATACTAGCGCGCAACATTCTGTGACTCTTAAAAAAACAGTAAAAACAACGAGAAACGCCGGCAGCGAAGGGCTTTATCGATCAGGAAACGGCTGGCAGTGAATGAGTTAATGAAGTGTCACTCAGACCCCACTGCTCTCTGTGGCCAGAATACCACACTTACAACTTCATAGTTGGCGGACACTCCCTGCTGGTGGAGGGAGATGTGGACTGGAGTGGAACTGACAGTGGAGCTGGAATCTGCTTCCAACACATTTCATGCATGGTTTAGATCGTGAACACAGCTGATTTGTTTGATTTTGTGATGGATCATTTCTGTAGAAACTAATGAAAGCTGAGGAGACATTTCAGCAGTCAGATTAAAGACACACTTGGCAGTTTTGCTTGCTTTTAGCACCCCCTTGTGTCTGTTATAATTTCCCTGTGGTTACACCAAAAATGAAGCCTATCTCCTCGCTGTGCGTTTTTCTTTCTAACACCTTAATCTAACAGCTGAAACGTCTCCCCAGCCTTCATTTGTTTCTACAGGAATGTTTCATCACGAAATGAAACAAATCAGCTGTGTTTATGATCTTAAACATGCAGGAAACTTGCTGAAAGCAGACTGCAGTGCCAGGAATGTAAGCTCAATTTTTTCTAACTTTAACAGGAGGCAGCCTGGCACTCTGAAGTTGCAAATGCGTTACTCTGGCCACAGAGTGCGGTGTGGGTCTGAGCATCATTCCATTAACCCTGTAAAAAGTAATTTTTGTACATACTGGCTGAAGAAAACAATTTAAAATATGAAAATTTTACGAACTCACAGCGAGAAGAAAATTCTCCTTTTTGGTTTAACCACAGAGAATTCATAACGGACACTAGGGGCTGCTAAAAGCAAGCAAAACTGCTGAGTATCCCTTTAAGAGATTTAACAGCTTCTCAGACTTACCTTGCCAAATATTGTGTGCTTATTATTGAGCTCGTCTGCACGTCCCAGGGTGAAAAAAAACTGACTACCATTGTCATGTGGTCCAGCGTTTGCCATGGCAACCAACCCCCTCCGAAGGAAGCGCAGTCTGGTGTGAAACTCATCCTATGAGTTAAAAAAAGGATGCTTTAAGATTTTCACATTTTTATTGGTCTCTGTGGCATCCATTAGATAGTTTTTAAATTTCTACAGGCAGTTCAATGTTTTTTAGATGAATATTCACAATTATAAATAAAACTAAAGGTAAGGCGGTGCTACCTTGAAAGGGCGTCCGTAGATGGACTCTCCACCCGTTCCTGTTCCTGTTGGATCGCCCCCCTGGATGATGAAATCCCGCACCACTCTGTGAAAAATGGTGCCATCATAGTAACCTAAAATGTGGACAGAAACAATTGAAAGTAGGAAATTGCTTTTTATTTAAATTCTGTAGTTAAAAAAAGTCACTTTTTGCCATCCTTCCTTCCATCTCAGATGCGGCCCAACTTTTGATGGACACCAGAAGGAGGGAGCACATTACTCCTGTTCTGGACCAGCTGCACTGGCTCCCGGTGCGCTACCATATCCAGTTTAAAATTTTACTTCTTGTTTTTAAGTCACTCTATCTTTATGCTGCTCTGTACTTGACTCAGCTGGTTCAGCCCTACGTACCTGGTCGAATTCTTCGGTCAGCAGACCACCGCCTGTTACAGGTCCCAAGTGTTCAGGTGAGGACACGAGGAGAACGAGCGTTCTCAATCTGTGCGTCTCATCTCTGGAACTAACTCCCTCTAGCAGTGAGAATGGCCCCCTCTCTCTGATTTTAAGCCTGAAGGCTCATTTTCATTCCTTGGCTTTTGCTTCAGCCAAGCTAGCCTTGTACTATGTCTCAGTTTTATTTTCATTATTGATTTAATAGTAGTTACTGTACTACTTTTATGACTTTCTTCCCGTGTGTGGTGATTTTTATGCTCTTTTACTGAGCAGCACTTTGGTTGGCCTCGGCCATGTAGAAATGTGTTTTACAAATAAAATGGAATGTTCAATGTTTAATCTGTATACTATAATAATAATAACAATAATAATAATGATGATCATCATAATAATCATAATAATCATAATCATAATAATAGTAATAATAATAATAATCATAATGATAATAATAATAATAATCATCATCATCATCATCATCATCAAAATCATCATAATAATAATATTATATTGGTAAATGGCTTGCACTTGATATAGTGCCTTCTAGAGTCCTGAACCCCCCCCCAAGGCACTTTACAACACAATCAGTCATTCACACATTCACACCCTGGTGGGGATGAACTACACTGTAGCCACAGCTGCCCTGGGGCGCACTGACAGAGGCGAGGCTGCCGAGCACAAGCACCACCGGTCCGTCTGACCACCACCAACAGGCAAGGTGGGTTAAGTGTCTTGCCCAAGGACACAACAGTGGCAAACTGAGCGGGGTTCGAACCTGCAACCTTCCGATTACGGGGCGAGCACTTCACTCCTGTGCCACCATCACCCCACATAATAATAATAAGAATAATAAGAATAATAATAATAAACTTTATTTGTATATCTTGGCTCACTCGTTCTCTAGGGTGTTTCCCACTTTCCACCTACAGAAAAAAATGTAAATAAAAGTCAGAAGTGAAATCAGTCTAATATTCATTTAAAGGGGCCATAACATAAAGGAAATCCACTTTTTGGAGCTTTTTAGCATGTGATATTGTTGTTTCCTCATGAAAAATACCCCCAAAACTGTTTTTGGCTGCATTTATGCATTTTCCTGTGTCAGCTGCAAATTTTTGATTTTATTTAGAAATTCCTGAAAATCCCGAATGTAAAGTTTGTACGCAATACTGTCATCCACCTCCCAACATCAGGCCCTGCTCCTTCCCTGAATATGGTCTAGAGGCCGACCGATATGGGTTTTTTATGGTCGATGCCGATTTTTAAAGGATTTTGTTGCCGATGGCCGATATCTAAAGCCAATTATTAAGGCTGATATATATACGTTTTAGCAACACATTAATTGTGAAAGACAACTGAACACTCACAGTGTGCAATATAAATTAAATAAGTCAATAAATCTCTTAATAGTTATTGAACTTCAAATATAAAACAAACTCAAAACATTTATATCGGTAGGCCTCTAATCTGGTCTGGGCTCTGAAACCCGCCTCCCTTGGTCAGCACAGGATATGTAGCTTATGGGCTTTCTATCGCCCAGACTGGCATGGATCGGGGTGGAGGGAGATGGTACGATGCACTGGATGCTATTTATTAGACACAGACCGGCAAACCTATGCAGCAAGGGAGGCCTGAACTTGGCGACCGGACTCCTGGAGTCACTTGTTAAAAGGAACCCAGGTTACAAAACTTTGTGGTTCTTAAAAGATAAATGTTGGTATCAGTTATATTTAAGTGGTGTAAAAAACCTTTTTAATGTCTTCATTTTTATAAAATTTGTAAAAAATAGTTTAACTCGTAGTTCGCGATTGTTGTTAGCGTCACAATGCACTCTGGGTGGTGACGTCATACGGTTGTACCTCGGTTGCACCGGCCGGCTTTGGGACCCTGTAGTGACTGTTAAGCGACATCGACATGTCGTCTGTTCAGCCTTTTCTATTTGAACCAGAGCGAAACATTAATGATGACATCACTGATTATGTTTCACAAAACGAGCATCAAAATGAAGAGCAAGAAGGGCGGGATGAAGCGAGAGCAGGACAAAAGCAGTGGTGTGTGTGCTGCAAATGCGTCTCCATGGGAACCGAAAGGGAGAGTGTTTGTTGTTAAGAGCTCATATTTTTGTCCGCAGAAGTTAACGGTAAGCTGTCGCGTGGTCAAACTTATTCAATTATGAATTGTTTAGGAGAATTTTAGCATCCAGAGCTGTCGTGTGCTTCATAGATGATTAGGATATTCAGTAAAACAACTTTAATCATTTTTTCAGATATTGTATATTTGGAGAACACTGTGTTGCTACACTTACTGCTTGTCTTACTGAAGGGAGAGGTGAATGTTCAGCTTCATCTGTGACGAGTGGCGTGTCCGATGGTTCGCCCAACGTGACAGAAGCGACAGCTGCAGGAGCGGGTTGTCGGCTCAGGAGAGCGTCCAGCGTCTCGTCTCTCTGAGAGACAGTGAAACTCCGCCCATGCCCACTCTGACAAAATGTGCCTACTGGACCAGCTTTATACCCTTACGCCCAGATCACACTGTATGATTTTCGGCTGTCTTTGCCAAATTCCTAGTCCTGAGCAGAATCGTGACAAAAAAAAACACAGTGTGGCCGGCTCTGCGACAGCTTTTTGAGCCGTCTCACGACCAAATCAGCTTAAAAAAGTCTTCAAGCATGCTTGAAAACCTGGGACTCCTGTCTGCAACCGACCAATGAAAACACACCTTTTGGGACGCCGCAGCAGCAAGACTCCGCCTCTCTGAGCTTCAGTTTCAATACCCACCAGTTTTTATTTCTGTTAATAGAACAAGTTAAACCAGAGTTATACTAAAATAATTAAACTACCTTTTTTAGACCATCAGATAAATTGTGGACAGAGGAAGCTCTGTGACAGCGGGTGTGAGCTGTCACATGGAGCGGATCTGCGGAGCATTGAAACAGAATTCACGGCAAAAGTTATATAGCAGCGATCTGTGACAGATTGTTACTTCTCTGTAGTTTAGTGGGTTCTTGTGTATAAAGGAGGAGAAGGATGAATGACCAGCTGACAGCTCCGCTGTTTAGCTGGAAGACGAGAAAAGGAGACCTGCAGCCGGAGTCTGACGCCAAAACAAAGGTTTTAAAAACGTAGCTTCCTGTTTGAGAAAGATGAGCTGGGTCATGAACTGACACTAAAACTAAGTGTTTTTATCTTTTCAGCTTTGGGTAGTGACCGAAAGAATGAGATTGGAGATAAAAGCGCCCTAAATGAGTTTTCTCTGCAGGGTGGCTGGGCTCTTCCTTAGAGATAGGGTGAGGAGCTTGATCATCTGGGAGGGGCTCGGAGCAGACCTGCTGCTCCTGCACATCAAGAGGAACCAGTTGAGGAGGATCTAGTTAAGATGCCTCCTGGACACCTCCCTGGTGAGGTTTTCCGGGCATGTCCAACCGGGAGAAGACCTAAAGCAAGACCCAGGAAATGCTGGAGGGACAATGTCATTCACCTGGCCAGGTAACTCCCTAGGATTCCCCTGGAGAAGCTGGCCTTAGTGGCTGGGGAGAGGGAAGTCTGGGCCTACTGCTGCACCCACAACCCGACCCCGGATAAGCAGCCGAAAATGGATGGATGGATGAATGGATAATATACCCCCTTTAACATACATGAGGTTCACTGATATCTGTACTGCAGTAAATATCAATATGTACATATGGATACTTGTATTTTTTTGGAATGCATCATCCACAACTTCTGAATTTCAGATTTTTCCTCCACGGACCGTTTTTTAACAGCACGGTCTACCTTACCTTCCATGCACAGCTGCACAAAGTTCCTGCATGCTTTAGGAGTCTCCTTGGACCACAGCTCGATGTCAATTTCCCCTGCTGAGGTCTTCATCAGCACCTGAAAAGTAGCACAGCAAAACATATCTACATATAAAACTACTTCTCCCTAGCCTAGTGAACTAGACCAAAATCTTTCTTTGCAAAGTTTTTTTTTTTTTGCACAGAAGTTTGCAAAGCAAATAATATATTTATTTTGTCTCGCTTGCCAGGCTAACTTCTCCAACCATCCCGCTACTTCTATGGCACACGCGTTCACCTCCTACTAGCAACATATCAACAACTAGCTGGTAACATATCAACAACTAGCTGGTTTCAACGAAATGTGTATAAACTTTACAAGGAAAAGCTACACTGCATGTTCTTAATGTAAATACAGACAAAATAAAAAGATAGGAAGGCACTCACCTTTCCACTTGTTGGAGGTTCCTGGATATATATGTTACTCATTTTGAAGGTGAATCTGCTTATGTGCTTCGAAAAAAAAACGAAATTCTAATCTTTAACACCTTTATACCTTCAACTCACGTAAAATGTATAATAGATAAACGGTTAGTAATCCTGATAACTGCTTGTACTTTTCCCGAATGTTGCAAATTTCACACTTATCCTCCAACAGCCATGCTAGTGCAGTGTTTACTTCAGAGAACACGGGGGAATCCTGATGTACTACTCTTTTTTATTTAGTATACTCTGCTGTTTATGATAATTATTTAAGATGTTTATATGTTTTCATTTTGAAAATATTTTTTTCACGTTCATAACAACCAGCTAAACCGCTAACGACAACATAACATCAAAAACAATCGCAGGCTCAGCCCCTAAAAGTGAAAATGGTTGAATCCACACGATGTTCAGCGTTAATAGGCCCATAGAAACAAAGCATAATAATAAGTTCCGCATTAAGCTTCTATTACACTTAAAATACGAAAATATAATCCAGTTTTATAATTTAGGGTGCATTCTAAAATATTACTTAAAAATTTACAATCTCTAATAAATTTCGCTAAGTTTCTGACGGAGCAAAATTAAATTCAGAGCGCAGCGGAAGTGCCGTAATTACGAAAGGACCACACGACGCTGTGCAGCAATGGCGGAGGTTGAAAACAGTTTGGAGTTAAAACGAAAAGCTGATGATGTTCAAGATGAAGATGGAAATGATGAAAGTACAGACTGGGTTGGACCCATGCCAAATGAAGCATCAAAGACAAAGAAACGAAGAGGTGGGTTAATGACACTGAATTTACCACAATGGTTTGCGCGAATCCACTTTTCAGTAAATCCCGCTAATTCTGGTTCGGTTATTTCTTCAGTCCTAGAATACGAGCGAGTCTACCTGGATAACCTCCCATCAGCTGCCATGTACGAACGGAGCTACATGCATAGAGACGTTATCACACACTTGGTGTGTTCGAAGTAAGTGGAGAAAAATACCGCGGTAAAGTTAGCTTGAACTTGGACGTTGGATATTTGACAGACATTGGTTTACACTGTTAGCGATAAGTCTTTATGCCGTGCACTGGGCACAGCGATGTGCTGATTTCCGAGGACTCGCTATAAGTCCCTTAATTTTGAAATAAAATCCTAATAAAAAAGATCAGATTGAGTGAAATGTGTTAAAACTGTTGTGTCTTGTAAATGTAGTTTAGTAACACAAGTCAGAAGTAATTTTGAGTCATTTAGGAAATTATTCTGGAAGTTCAAAAACAATTTTGTACTCGTTTACAAAGGACTACAAATTTGTTGATAGTCCCTAAGCGACCCACCATTCCCTATCGCGAGTCCTCGGAAGTCAGCTAACCGCTGTCTGTACCCAGTGCATGACATGAAGACTAATCGCTGACCGTATAAACCAGGGGTGTCAAACTCATTTTAGCTCAGGGGCCACATTGAGGGAAATCTAGTCCCAAGTGGGCCGAACCGGTAAATTAAAAAAAACTTCAGATGGTTTTCTTTGTTTTAATACAATCAATATAAAACAAGGCTGTAGCCTGAGGACAGTGTATCCAAAATAGTACAAGTAAAATACCTGAAGTGTACTTGAAAATTTGAAAGAAGAAAAAAAAATCCATAAATAAATAAACATTCCTTAGTGATTCAAAGAGCTTACAGATCACATGGCTAGATCAGTTTCATGCAGCTTTTAAAGTATATTTGACTCATTTTACTTAACATCTTTTAGCTTTCACCAGCACATCAACATCAGAAGTCACATCCTGAGTGGTAGCCAACTTCAGGATGTGATTCAAGTTCTTGTGTGAGCCTTGAGCGCAGCTTTGTTTTATTTATACTCATTACAGAGGAAACTTGTTCACAAAGATAAGTTTATTTTCACTCTACATTGTAAAGTATGAAAATAAAGTTTACAGAACCATCTCGCAGGCCGGATCTAACCCGCTTGCGGGTCGAATCCGGCCCGCGGGCCGTATGTTTGACACCCCTGGTGTAAACCAATGTCTGTCGAATATCTAACGTCCAACTTCAAGCTAACTTCACCGCGGTATGCAACAAGTGGTTTTGTGTAAACATCTTACAAGTTTGTCTTGTCTGTTTGTTTCTTTATTTGTACAGCGTCTTTGAGTAGTTGTTAAGAAAACCTATGTATTATTATTAGGTTTGGGAAAGTTGGACCAATGTTCACAAATTAGCGCTTCTAGTATCAACACTTCCAAAACAAATCGTTGTTAAACCCAAAAGACGCCTCTTTAAGAGTGGTGAGGTAATGCACAAATAAACAGTGACCCTGTGTCTTCACTTCCAGTCTCCTCTCTGTGGTGTTCCTCAGGGTTCAGGTTTGAACCCCTCCTATTTTTCTAGCATTTGCAGCCACTTGTTTACACCCTCAGCAAACAGCGTGGCATTCCAATGTTACACTGAAAGCTGTCAAATTTATATTCGGCTAATAAGAAAAGAAAAACTTTTTGTGTCTTGATGAGAAAACGTCCTGGGTGACTCAGTGTTTTAAGATTCAAAGAGGAAAAAGCACAAATACTTTTTAGCAGTACAACTGAGTCCCCTAATGTAGAAATAGGTTCCATGACTCAGGATTGTAAGTCAACTATCAAACCTGGGCGTCAAAGTGGACTAAAACAGTCAGATGAGTTCAGTGGTTAATCTATCTTTGTCCAGCTGGGGCAGTCAACTTAAATAAACACAAGCCCATTCTGTCCAGGTAGCATTTGGAAGCAGTAATAATCTACGCCTTTGTCACCACACTTGGTGTATAAAGTAAGGGTCAGTCTTTCTGTTACCCATCTCCAGTGGGTGCAAAATGGTAGTATGAGCCCAACACCTTTATTTTAGCTTCACTACATGGGTTTCCTGTTCATTTTAGAAATAATATTAAAGTTCTGTAATATGGTTTCACACCCTCCATGGTTTTCTCTTGTCATAACCTGTCTGAGCTGCTACCTGCACCTGTTGCTGTAGCAAATCCTAAATGTTGATGTCTGACTAGATTCTTGGGGTTCCGATTCGATTCAGAATCGATTCTCGAGTCGATTTCTCAATTAAAATCGATTCACAATCAGTATTAACAAAGAGTGTTATCTCCAGGATGAACTACTTTGTTGTACAAGTTAGTTAAACTATGGGACATTTTTATTTGACTTTAAACTGGTCATGCTCCAAAAATGCTAATTTACAAGGTAAACTAAAGTGATTCTAAAACTGTAAACAGAAACAATCTTTTGACCAAAAGGCAACATTTATTTTTTGCTTACCTTGTAAAATAAACAAATCTGTAGTTACCTAACAGTAGATTTGAAAGTAATACGGTCAAATAGTTTTCAAGTATGTGTAGAAACAAGTTCCATGAGTAATCCTGAGTACTCATTTATCAACTTAGAAAATAAATATGAGAATATCTCAAATTTCTGAGTATGGAAAAAATTACATTCAAGTGCCCTCTTATCAGCAGATTCAAACATAAATCATCTCAATTTATGGGACCACAAAAGTAAACGGAGTACTGACTCTCCTAACAAAGATCAAAAAAGTGCATCTCAAACCTGTAACATAAATATTTGAGTTCTTGGAATCGATTCGGAACCTTTGTGAATCGATTCTGAATCTTTATAAATAAGAATCCCGATTCAGACTTGAATGGATTTTTTTCAGCACCTCTACTGACTAGCCTTGTTTTCTGTCTCGTTTTACATATTGTGTTTGTTTCTTTGTTGCACATTGCGAGAGGAAGTTAGTTTTATGTCTGTAATCACTTTTTAGTGAAAAGGGTCAACTTTTGTTTTTATCTATTTTTTATTGTTGTCATAAGTGTTGTTATGTCTTATTTATTGTTTTATAACCTTTAATACAATGTAAAGCACTTTGGTCCCGTGCAGGTTGTTTCTAAATGCTCTAGAGGAGCTGGTCACTTTCAAACACCTTACTGAAGAAGTCGGGTAAAATTTTATGAGGTGAAAACGGTCATGCAGGGAATTGATTTGCACCCCAACATTAAAGAGAAACGTGATTTGGGTTAAACACGGCGTTGGTTTGAGCATGTTGATGCTGGAATCTGTAAATATTGGTCCATCTTTACTGAACTCAAATTGTTTCACTTTGTGAGGCCTAATCAGAACTGTTCTAATTACTTCTCTGTTCCAGGACGGACTTCATTCTCACCGCCAGCCAGGACGGGCACGTCAAATTCTGGAAGAAGAAGGAAAATGAGGGAATAGAGTTTGTGAAACACTTTCGGTGTCATCTTGGTATGATCTGATTTTCTTTTCTTCTGAATTTGATTTCAGCTACTTAACTCGTTCGCTGCCAGCCGTTTCCTGATCGGTAAAGCCCTTCGCTGCCAGTGTTTTTCACAATTTTTACAGTTTTTTTAAGAGTCACAGAATGTTGCACGCTAGGATGATGTCAACACCAAAACAACCAATACAAAGCAGAGACTCACCTCTTACATAAAGAAGAATCCGCGCGTTTCGAGCGTTATCCGTTCTTTCATAATCCGTTGTTGAATTGTGATCGGCAGAAGTGTTCCGGTTCGCTCCTCACTTTTTTTACAGCAGCGGCCCAAAATGATCTCCTAACACATGGATTTTTCTGCTTCCTGGTCACGTGACGTATGCGGATGAAGATCGGCTTCAGAGCTGAGATGTTAGTTCTCACGGTGCGGGGGCTCGTTCCGACGCCCACACAGTAAAAACATGTAATGGCAGTGAACGGTTGGATTTAAAATGACGTCTTTAGTCGTCAATGGCAGTGAATGAGTCAAAGCAGGTAAACACAATGACGTGTGCTCACCCTGCTCCTCATTATTAGTTCAAACGTGTCGTTTTGCAGGTGTGATTGAAAGCATTGCTGTCAGTGCTGAAGGAGCCCTTTTCTGCTCTGTTGGTGATGATCAGGCTATGAAAGTGTTTGATGTGGTTAACTTTGACATGATCAATATGCTGAAGTTGGGGTGAGTCTAATGGCATCTTTTTACACATTTAAAGTGAGCTTTCTTCTTTGGTGTGATGAGATGGATGTTTTCTACTTTGATTCGTGTCTCCAGCTTTCAGCCAGGCCAGTGTGAGTGGATCTATAACCCCGGAGATGCTATCTGCACCGTGGCTTGCTCCGAAAAATCCACGGGGAAGATCTTCGTTTACGATGGACGAGGAAGCAACGATCCGCTTCATGTCTTTGACAAAATGCACTCCTCGCCACTGTCCCAAATTTGCCTGAATGCCAAATTTCGTGTGATTGTGTCAGCTGACAAAGCGGGAATGCTGGAATATTGGACTGGCCTTCGGAACGAGTTCAAGTTCCCCAAACACGTGGGCTGGGTGTACAAAACAGACACAGACTTGTATGAATTTGCAAAACACAAAACCTACCCAACCAGCCTCGCCTTCTCCCCAGATGGGAAGAAAATGGCTACCATAGCTACTGACAGGAAAGTGAGGATCTTCCGCTTCTTAACAGGAAAGCTGATGCGAGTCTTTGATGAGTCGTTAACGGTCAGTTGTAAGTTTTCAAATCTGCATAAAACTGAGGACCTTTTTCTAGTTTAACACTTTGTTTTGGTTCTAGATGTTCACAGAGTTGCAGCAGATGAGGCAGCAGCTGCCAGACATGGAGTTCGGTAGAAGAATGGCTGTAGAGAGGGAACTGGAGAAGGTGGATGGCATCCGACTGACGAATATCATCTTTGATGAGACGGGACACTTTGTTCTGTATGGCACCATGTTGGGCATCAAAGTCATCAATGTGGAAACCAACAGGTAGATCTCATTTCAACAGAGAAAGAATTAAGGAACCTTTTTCATAAGTTAAAGCTTTTCAAGGGTATTTCTTAAATAGTTATAGATAAGTTTAAGGGTTTAATCTGCTACACTGGTCTGTTAAAGCCTTGTTACATACTGGTGATAGGAACTTCATCCGCTTATCTGAGGTCGGGTTGCAGGGGCAGCAGCCTAAGCGGAGAGTCCCAGGCTTCTCTCTCCCCAGCGTCTTGGGCCAGCTCCTCCGGGGGAATCCCAAGGTGTTCCCTGGCCAACCAAGAAACATGGTCCCTCCAGCTTGTCCTGGGTCTTCCCTAGGGCTGCAGAAGCGGAACAACGTAGCATAGATGCAACATAACACAGCACAGCAATCAGAAACGCAGAAGCCAACCCTGCTCTTAGTTGATCTCTTATTTTCTCTGCTGCTGTGGACCTTTTGGCGCTGATCAGTGACGTTGCTCCTTGCCAAAATAACGGTTATGATATTCTAACGTTTTAGCAAATTCCTTAAAGGTCTGAGAGGACGGAACCAGAGTATTTTCCCCGTCGCCTTCCCTTCTCCCAGAAATGCTCTTTCAAATGACCTTTGTTGCCAACTGGTGCTACATACATATATCTTAGTTGGCGTTACGTTTTGATGGCCTGCTGGAAAATATTTTTTTTTATTAGAAAAAATTAGGAAAACATTGAAAGGAAGATGAGAAATGACTTTTTTGGAATCTTTTAAATTTAAACATTAAATGAATAACAATAACCACAAAACATGACATCTAAATAGTAGGGTCTGTGGAAAGGGTCGCATTTTTCTATAAATGTGATGGACCTAAAGCTGCAATGGCAAATCTGCAAACAAGCTAGCTTTTGAATTTAAACACGGTCATGGAACACTCACCCCTCCCCTCAAGAATCTTCTCTAGGCCACATCCGCCAGAACCGGAAACTCGCCAGAGTAATCAAGAGTGTGCTAGGCATATGGGGAGAAAAAAGTGTCAAAAGATCTGTGTGTGTGTGTGTGCGTGCGTGCGCGTGCGTGTGTGTGTGTGTGTGTGTGTGCGTGCGTGTGTGTGTGTATGTGTGTGTGTGTGCGTGCGTGCGTGGATACATCTAAGCATGTGTAACTCTTGAGTTGTGTGTAAACTTGTGTTTACATTTTCATGCGTAACTTCAGCACCTACATATACAAATCATTGAATACACACAAACAAATCACATGGACAAAACTACATTACACACAGATCAGTTTACAAGAACAAAAGTCCTTTTGAGACTCTTTTCTCACCTGACTGATTTGTGCGTACATGGTGCATTTGAATGCTGGGTGGAAGCTGGGAAATTGGATTTTCCTTAGGAATTAGTCTAAATTTGTTTTTCTGTGGAAAATGTAGTATTTCAGGATACTGTTGTTAATAAAAGATAGACCTACATTTAATTTTTAATAATCTAAAATAGTTCATTTTAGGGCTGCACAATATATCGTAAATATATCGTTATCGTAATATCAGCATGCACAATATGCATATCGCAAAGAACAGATAAATATGGCAATGAATGGTCAGCTCAAATGTTTGCTACACATAATGCATTCTGTCAATCAAATGGAAGCAAGATGTTTTTTTAATAATGAAATAGAGCTCTTCACCCATTTGGCCCATTGGGTGGGTTCTCATAGGTTAGATGCCTGCCCCCGAGGAGGACGGCACTTAATTTGATGGTTAGCAAACACCTGAGTTAGCTTTATTCTGCTCTTTCTGCTTTTCCAGGGATCCACTTATTGCCTTTTCTAGTTTATTTTCTTTTTCCCTTTCCTCACATCTTTTGCTATTCTCATTTTTTTTATTTTTTCGTCTTTTTATTTTTTTTATTTCTGACCACTAGTTGGAAGAGTGGCACTCTGACTGACAGGCTTCAAACCGGGAGAAGGCATGTTGATCTGAAGCAAGTAAAAGTTAAACCTGCACTCTGCTGTCCGGTCATAATGAGACAGCGATAATTTTAGACAGTTTCATACGTTTTATAGATTACCATTTTCTAGGTCCAAACACCTTTTGTTGTCCGTGACTTCAAATGGTGTTTTTCTTTTTGGGACTCTGGTAGTTTGTTCTAAAGTTGAAGTGGTAGCAGCCGGCTGTTTCTCCTTCTGATATTATTGGGCGGAGAACCTCTCACGCCAGTGGTGTTCTGTTGCAAAATACATGAGTATGAATGAAGGACCCAGAGAAGTGTGGCTGTTCGGCGAGCGACAACCGAATGGTCCAATAGTTGCTTCAGTCCAAAAGGCGTTATTGGCGGAGGTTTTTAGACAAATGTGAGAGTACCTCTTTATTTTTTTGTTTAGTTTTTTCAATTTCCACAACAAATTTTTAGCTATGCTATGTTAGAACTTTGTTTAAAATAACTTGTTTTCCAAATTTGCTATTGCAGCTTTAAAAATCCCTAACCAGCAAAGACTGGTCTTCAGTTTTCAATAATAGCCTGAGGTTTACCATCGATGTGGAACAAGTTAGTTATTTTGACACGATACTGAGTTGGACACCCTGCTTTAGATGATAACGCATCATTTTATCATCCGTATTCATTTTTCATTTGTTGTAAAGCGCCAAGTCAACTTTGTGATGGTGAACATTCTCCAGTGCGGTTATCCCAAAGTTCAGTAATGTCACCAGTTAAATTCGTCATGTTGCTCCAGTTGGCAACAAGTGATTTGGCGCCAGTGCTCGGCCCGGCCAAGAGGCAACACCAAGAGCTGAAAATACAAAAACAAACACATTACAACCGTATAAAAACAATTACAGCAGGGTTTCTCCCAGCGCTTTATAAGCCTGGCCACCCGCCAGGCTAAGCGTCATGCCCCGCCCCCCTCCCCGACCCTACCGTGTCCGCTGACACAAACGGCGCAACGAAAATAGAGCCCTCCATCAGCCGATACTGGTGAGAAACAGCAGCGAAAAGTGTGCAACACCCCCACCCCCGCTCTCACGGGGGAGCGCTGCGGGGCGGAGTGCGCGACCCTCCTCCCCTCTGACGGCCAAATCCGCCAGGCTTAACTCATTTTCTGGGGGAAACCCTGTACAGATTTACTAACAACAGTGTTAAAGAGGAGTGCCAAAAGTTTCTATATTAAAACCACACAGAATCATTCAATGAATGGATGATTGCCAATAACAACGTGCTAGCACACAAAGCGAAATGATGATTTAAAATGTTTACGTAAAGGTCTGGTCTTAAAACCTTTTCACCAGGTGTGTGCGGATTCTTGGGAAGCAGGAGAACATCCGCGTGGTTCAGCTGTGTCTATTCCAGGGGGTCGCCAAGGACATGACTGTGGCCCCCACAGTAGAAATGAAGGCCTCCGACAACCCTGCTCTGCAGAACGTTGAGCCTGACCCGACCATCTTCTGCACTGCGTTCAAGAAGAATCGTTTCTACATGGTGAGAGAAGCGGATGTTTTCTTTTTTAAGTAATTAACGGTATTTTTTTTGTCTTTGCCTTCATGTGTTTATTTTTTGGGTGTAAGTTTACAAAAAGAGAACCAGAGGATACGAAGAGCGCAGACTCGGACAGAGACATCTTCAACGAGAAGCCCTCGAAGGAGGAGGTGATGGCTGCCACTCAGGCCGAGGGGCCAAAGAGAGTGTCTGACAGCGCCATCATCCACACCATCATGGGAGACATCCACATCAAGCTTTTCCCTGTGGAGTAGGTCCTCCCTGTGACAGAGTATGATTACAAAATCCTCCTAAAAGCCAAATCTAGAAAAGATCTGTTCATGATCGGATTTTCAGGTGCCCGAAAACTGTGGAGAACTTCTGTGTTCACAGCAGGAACGGATATTACAATGGCCACATATTCCACCGAGTAATTAAGGTAAAGATTTATTTAAGGTGTTAATAGAGCAGCTATAAATGATCGGCTGCATCTCTAACGCTGTACCTGGTGAACAGAGTTTCATGATCCAGACGGGAGACCCCACAGGCACAGGGATGGGAGGAGAGAGCATCTGGGGAGGAGAGTTTGAGGACGAGTTTCACGCCACGCTGAGACACGACCGCCCGTACACACTTAGCATGGCCAACGCTGGGCCCGGCACCAACGGCTCACAGTTTTTTATCACCGTGGTTCCGACGGTGAGTTCAGTTTTCAGCTCATGTTGTAGAACAGTGTGTCAGCTAGTGTTTGCCAGGCTTGCATGTTTGATTTTATTTTAGACTGGCTATTGTGCACGTTGGTGCTCTTTTGAATTATTCTTTTGTGACCTAAAGATCTAAAGTACTGCTGCTACCGTTTACGTGCTTCAAATTTAAGGAATACCTCGACTGATGCAGAGTTAATAAACTTTTCACGGACAAGTAAGTCTCTAAAATATAAATATATGAGAACACAACATGGCATGAGAAGAATACTTGTAAAACAGCGTGTTTTAGCTGTTTGCCGGCTACAGAAGCACATTTATAAACATGAAACGTGAAGTCGCCATCTTAAAAAAATTTGAAGAATAAATTATTTGTGTGATATGCTTGTCAGCCACTAGATGGTGCGATCGGATAAGAGAAATACTCTGGAAAGAGACTAACAGAGCACTGAAATGGCTCATTCTGGAAGGTACTGAAAACGTCATGAATAAAGCTGCTGAAATTGCTTCGTGTAAGAGAGGTTTAGAGCAAAGAACTTCATAAACGTGTTTTTATGGATCAGGGTTCTGCAACCTTAATGAAAGGAGTTGATTTTCCTCCCGAGTCCCACAGAATTCAACTTGTTTAGAGCCGTAACTGTTACAGGATGTTGTGAATGGAGAAGATTTTTGAGATACATTTTTTGGAAGAGGATTAGGGCCGCTGAGCAAAAAAATACTTTTTTTTTTCTCAATTGTGGAACTCTGACTTCTTTGTTTTATTAAAGTTAGTAATCATGTTTTTTCTCTTCTGTACATATTTACTATAAGAGATTTGTGAAAAAACACAATTTAGTTCCTTTTGTTTGGTTTTAAAATGAAGACAATTACACTTCTAGCTGTTTTTTGTTCGACTGGATGTTGATTTTTGAAGAAAAAGATGTAAAACATAAATGGATTTAAGTATTACTGATACTTTTCGTTTCATTTTACGGAAATTAGACACACTTGTTGCATGAAAAAAACCTGCATTTCATTATTTCTGTATTTAAAATCACAGGTTAGTTTTTTAGCAGTTTAAGCCAAAGTAAAAATGTTTTCAAAAGCACGGCTGTGGCTCCCTGGTACACACCGTAGACCTGTTCCAACTTGTTTTTAAAAACTAGTATTATGTCCTCTTTACTTCATGTTTAAATCTTCATCTTTGATGTCAAAACGTGTCGCCCAACTAGTTTCATTTGTTAAAGACTTTTGTCCAGTGACACAAACGCTCGTGATTTTTTTTCTTTCTTTTTGAAACAGAAAAGAAAAATCCCTGAAACAACATTTTGCCGGACATTTATTTAGAAATATTTATTTTTATGTTTTATTTTGATATTTTTCTCTAAATGGGTGCTCTTTTGAAATGGAGAGATCAAACTTGAATCATAAAAATGTCCCAACTAGTTTCTCAGCGTGGTTTTGTTTCTCTGCAGCCGTGGCTCGACAACAAGCACACAGTGTTTGGAAGGTGCACAAAAGGCATGGAGGTGGTCCAGAGAATCTCCAACTCCAAAGTCAACCCCAAGACCGACAAACCGTACGAGGACATCAGCATCATCAGCATCACCATAAAGTGATCGGCTTCATCTTGTTCTGTAGTGACGTTCCTTTTTACTGGCTCATTAAAGACGGCTTTGATAAAATTTGCTTTCAGGCTGATGGTTTCACCAGTGTCCCTTTAGGGTTCAGTTCACCTAGACTCAAGGGAATTTATAGAATTAGAAACAACAGTACATACAATAAAAACAAAATATATAATCAATTTCCTGTACCGGCTTATCCTTGTGGAGTTGCTAGTGGCTGGTGCCCATCTCCAGCAGCCTTTGGGCAAACAGGTTGGGTACACCCTGGCATGGATGTCATTTTTGGGGGGGGGGGTCCTCCCACTTTTTCCACAGTCATTTTTTGCCCCCTGCTCTTTTTACCGACCAAAAACAATATTACACTATAAATAGACAATGACTGAGCACCAGGACCAAGCGGAAAACCAGGAGAACCGTCCGTAAGCTCATCTATTGGCTCTGCTGCTACTTGCTAACGTGTGATTGGCCATTCCTGCCACCTGTGTACTTGACATTTCTGCATTCCTGACATTACATAAAAGAGCCTCTAGGCTGTAGTTTTATACTTTACTGTAAAGATCCCCCCGGTCGTCATGCCAGTTGTGCCCCCCCCCCCCCCCCCCCACACACACACACACACAAACACACTTCTAAAGTCAAAACTACGGCCATGCACCCTGGACAGGTCGGCAGTCCATCACAACCACTCGCACCTAAGAGCAAATTGGAGAGGCCCATTAACCGAACAGTCATACTTTTGGACTGGGAGGAGGCCGGAGTACCTGGAGAGAACCTACATGTGCACAGGGAGAACATGCAAATTCCACGCAGAAAGACCCCAGGCTGGGATTCAAACTTGGGACCTTCACGCTGCAAGGCAACAGCGTTAACCACGGATCAAATCAAATTCCGACATTAACCCTTCACTCTGAGTGCATCAGGCATTTTCTTGGTCGGGCTGTCTCTACTCTCGTTAGCTTAGCATGTAGATGCACTCTGGAGTTTACAGAAAAGAGGGACTACTGAAGAAAAATTAAGTCAAAGGTAAAATATTGAGACAAGCATTAGATATCAAATCAAATTATTACATTACACAATGATAAATGGTAAAAACTGTATTTAATACTCGTAGTGGCCTACTTGTGTTCTTTAGTTTCTTTCTTAAAGACTACCTGACAAACAGACCACAGTTTGTGAGGCTAAAGAACTGCACATCAAACCAGGCGATCAGTAACATTGGAGCACCACAGGGGACTGTACTCTCACCATTTCTTTTCACCCTGTACACCTCAGACTTCCAGTAAAAATCAGAGGCCTGCCATCTACAGAAATACTCAGATGACTCTGCAGTTGTCGGGTGTATCAGAGATGGACAGGAAGCTGAGTACAGAGAGTTGGTGGAGCGCTTTGTGGCATGGTGTGGAAACAATCATCTGACCTTGAACGTGAACAAAACAAAGGAGATGGTTTTAGACTTCAGAAGAAACAGGGTGGAGTCAAACACTGTTTCCATCATGGGGGAAGAAGTAGAGGTGGTTGAGGAATACAAATACCTTGGAGTTCGACTGGACTGGAGAAAGAACAGCGAAGCTGTTTACAAGAAGGGGCACAGCAGACTGCATTTCTTGAGGATGCTTAGGTCCTTCAATGTCTGTAGCAAGATGCTGCAGATCTTCTACAAGTCTGTTGTTGAGAGTGTAATCTCTTCAGCCATCGTCTGTTGGGGTAGCAGCATCAGAAGCAGGGACCTGAAAAGGCTCAACAGCCTAATAAAAATGGCTGGTTCTGTTCTGGGGACGACTGTGGAACCACTGGAGGAGAAAATGCAAAGAAGGATTCTCCAGAGAATCAAGAAAATTATGGACAACCCTGAGCGTTCTCTTCACAAGACTGTCCGACAACGGAAGAGTGTCTTCAGTCAGAGGCTTCTTCAGTTTCGCTGCAACACTGACCGCTACTGGAGATCCTTCCTGCCAACAGCCATTGTAATATACAATAACTCTTTGATGACTTTATTATTCTGAGCTACTACAGCAATCAATTTCCCTCTGGGATTAATACAGTATTTTTGAAATGAATTGAATTTTCAAGACGACATAAGTAACAACATATATTATCATTCTTCAACATAAGATGATCTAAACCTTAGATGTAAGATGGCAGGCCTCATGCTATTTCTTTAATTAGTGAAACGGAACAATTCAGGACAAAATCAACAGCGTCCAGACACAGGTGTCATGTCAAATAGTTTATTTTACAGCATCACATATATCATTTACAAAAGCCGTTATCAAGTCCACGTGTAACAAATGTGCTTCTAGGTCTAAGAAAACCAACAGAAATGTTTTCACCAACTATTTGGGAAGGCTTTTCACACGTGCACTTGTGTTTTTATACATAGATACAGACGAATAACCTTACATAGCAATGAATAAAGCTCAGACTTAAATGATGGTTCATCAATAAAAAAAAGTCAGGTTAAATGTCCAAGTTTCACATTATTAGTTAAAGGTGGACCATCTTTTAAGCACTCTACTGACCGCAGATGGGGTGAGATGTTAATATAAAATATTTTTATGCGACTTTTTAATTGTTTTTGTAGTGAAGCTAATACACACCAAGTAACAGCAGATGATTCTGGTTTGCTTCTGGCTGAAAACTATTAGCAGAGAAGTTGTTTGGACTGATTCTGCATGCACAAAATGGAAATCACGCATTAAAATTCACCTTAAATCAAAGAAACATTCCTGTTGATAAATAAGTTCAGTAAACAGTTGGCTCTGTAACAGACCAAACCAAAATGTTAACGGTGCCCCCCTCCTTAAAGTCCAGCTGGAATATTACACAAGCTCACAGGCCTAAAAGGAAAATCACCAGCACATGAAAAATAAAGCCATTTACACATCTGCTGCTGATGTTTATGTTAGAAGAGAAATGTCTGAAGTCTATGAAAGAGGATTAGTGCCACTGAAAGAAAAATTAATCTGACTTTAATCTCGGATTTCTGATTTTTTTTCTAAGAATTTTATATTAAAAAAAATTTATTCTGACTTATTTTCTCAGAATTGTGACTTTTTGGCTTGAGAAAAAAATTCTGAATTGTGAGATTAAAGTCTAAATAATTTTTTTGTTCGGTGGTCCTAACCGTCTTTTGTAGGAGTCGTGGATTTGTCTCAGCTATAACTGAATCTGAGTTTGCGGGACTAAACTACAAAGTCACTGCTGTCGCCTACGAGGACTATCAGAAGCTCACAGAATTAAGACAGAAATTATAAACGACTCTGAATGTAGTTTAGATAACTGGCATATAAGAGAGAATTTGACTATTAAAGGTGAGAAACTACAATTCACACCATCAGGACACCAGAATATTAAACATGACCAGCTACAGAAGCTACAAAAGAAGGCTTCACAAAAAGTTGGAGGAAAAAAACTAAAGTATGAAAGTGACCACACACGACTCGTTTAATGAGTTTTTACATCCTTCTGTTCTTTGCAAACAAAGAAGGAAAGATGAGAGGCTTGAAACTACATCCTTGGAAGTTTTCATGGAGCTGATGATCTGGGCTCAGGGGGATTTTAGGGGAAGATCCAGAATGTGCAAAGACGGTTCAGGCCACATCCAGAACACCAGCTGCCACCAGCTGCCTGGAAAGCCAATCCAGCCCCTCGTGGAGGCCCATCCCACTGCGGGCGTCGCAGCCCTGAATGTGCCAGCTCCTCCCACAGCACAGCTTGTGCAGACTCAGCAGCTCCGTCATCTCCTCCACGGAGACGGCGCCAGGAACGTCCTGAAGCCAAACAAGGTGATGAAAAACTGAATCTGAGCAGAGATAGCATCACGCAGGTTTTTTTTTTTTTTACAATCTTACCTGCTTGTTTGCAAAAATGAGCAGCAACGCATCCCGCAGCTCCTTCTCTGTCAGTAGTTTGGCTAACTCGCTATGTGCCTCCATCAGCCTGTCCCTGTGGCAGCTGTCAATCACAAACACCACCGCTGCATGGTGGAAGAACAAAGGAGGAGGGATGAAGTGGTGAACTTTAATTACTGAAAAATCACTTCATAAGTTTTAAATTCGGTCAACATCCCTAAAAACATGGTGCCTGCTGAAAAGGAAGTAATAGTCTAGATATCTAGACGAACCGTGGAAAAAGGTTGGTCTAGCCATGCTCCATTGTAGTCTCAGCAGCCCGGGATGGATGGACGAGGGAAGTTTATAAAAACGGACAACAGTTCCAGACAGATTAATTTCATATGGCTGTCTTCATCACTTGGGAGAAATGTTCCTAATCATCTCATTGAAACACTTGCATCAAGCATGCCGCACCAACGGTGGAGCTGCTCATTACTGACTTCATGTTTGCAACTTTAACTTACGCTTTGTGGGGGTTTACGAGCTTTTGCAGAGGCATTGCCTTAAACTTTTGATCAGCTGTGAAATGAACCTTGCTAACATCCAATCATGCAAAATATGATATGTAGCCATTTTTCCTGAGAAGTCTTAAAGAGACAATCAGTAGTTTTTACCAGTAATTTCTGGACATATCCATCAAAACGTTGTTGAAAATGGATAAAATGACATCCAGTTGTTGAAAAATATTGGTGGCTTGATAACAGCATTCATAACGGGTCTAAAGTAGATAGCGTGCAGGTCTAGCATCTTTGGCAGACGCCATTTTCAAACGCCGTGTTTCCTTCCGGCCAGCTCAGGGTCCTGCGCCTGCCAATGACATCACACTAGATGATTGGCTGGATGTATGATTTACGGAAGTTACGTTACCACGTTTAATAACAAAACTGCTAAACTCTTTCCAAAACCCATATGAAAGAACAGAAACGAAAAAGAGATGCAATATCTTTTGGCCGAGTGGCATTGCCGTAGTATGATGACGTCATCGGCAGGTGTAGGACCCCGAGCAGGTCCAGAAACTACAGTCTGAAAATTAAATTTAAGTTAAATTAAAGTCCCATCAGTTGTCACACACACTGATGTGAGTGCGAAATTTGTTCTCAGCATCTGACCCATCCCCTGGGGGAGCGGTGAGCTGCAGACATGACCGCACTCGGGAACCATTTGGTGGTTTAACCTCCCAATACAACCCTTAATGATGGGTGTCAAGCAGGGAGGCATTGGGTCCCATTTTTTTTACTTCTTTGTTATGACCAGACTAGGAATCAAACCCTGATCTCCCAGTCTCAGGGCGGACACTCCACCACTAGGCCACTGAGCTGGTCAAACTACAATTGGTAAAACAGCATTGCGTTCTCACGATAGAATTAACTGAAGGACCATCAAGGCCTGAGGAGTCACGCCGAGGCCGCCCGTTTTCTGCTCCGCAGGTAACAACCTTTACCGTAATGTTTTTTTAACTATTGACAGTCACGGTGATGTCTGTACTGCCCCCTAGTGCCAGAAAACTACACACTGTCACTTTAATGTAACATTTAAAATAAAACTTTACTCAAGTTAAATTATCCTACAAGATATTCTCTGATAATTTAAAAAATGTATGACACAAAATACAAAGACTAAGAACATATTACAGTTTAAGTTTTTATCTTTGTAAACTGTAACATAGGGAGTCTAAGTCTACTTCCGCACCATGGGTCCCCGGAACAGGGTATCTGCAGGTTTAAGAGAGCTAAATTTAAGACTTTTAAAGACCTTTTTTAAGGCCACTTTGACCAAACTTAAGCGATATTTAAAATTTTATTTAAGCTATAATTTCCAGCTATTGCCTGGAACCGGTGCTAAGCACGTCGCGAACGTGGGATTAGGCATCCAGTTACCATTAAATTTGCACTTCCCCATGGCGCAAGCTCCCACTAGCTTAACCAGCTAATGTGCTCATCTAAAAATAGCCCCCCTTTCACAACCAACTGAATGAGTACGGTTCCGCTTACGCCAACATCATACACAAAAAATGCTGAAAACTAACTAGAAATTCACGAAAATTTTATAGAAATAAAATAATCTTGTTTATTGTCTTTGGTAATTTAAGACCTTTGGAAACTTTATTTAAGGATTATTTGTCATTTTTAAGGATTTTTAGGGCCTTAACTCATTCACTGCCATTGACGACTAAAGTAGCCATTTTAAATCCAACCGTTCACTGCCAATGACGACTTAAGTCGTCATTTGCATGTTTTTACTGTGCGGGCGTCGGAACGAGCCCCCACGTCGTGAGAACAAACATCCTAGCTCTGAAGCCGATCTTCATCCGCATACGTCACACGTCACGTGATCAGGAAGCAGAAAATCCGTGTGTTAGGAGATCGTTTTGGGCCGCTGTTGTAAAAAAAAAGTGAGGCGTGGACCGGAAAAGCTTCTGCCGATCACAATTCAACAACGGATTATGAAAGAACAGATAATGCTCAAAACGCGCGGATTCTTCCTGAAGTAAGAGGTGTCTCCGCTTTGTTTTAGTTGTTTTGGCGTCAACATTATCCTAGCGCAACGTTCTGTCACTCTTAAAAAAACAGTAAAAACTGCGAGAAACGCTGGCAGCGAATGAGTTAAATGTGGAAAAGCAAATGTAAGACTTTTTAAGGACCTGCAGATACCCTGCCGGAAGAACGAATAAATGAATGCAAGTCAACGGGGCTAAAAACGCTATTTTCCAATCCGTTTTGCCTTACGCCCTGGATCGCACACATGTTGTACTGCAATTTAAATGAAAAGTAATGATGGGTGTTTTGACCCCGCCAGTCACGTACTTCAATTTATTTACTTTGAGATTTATTAGCTTGTAAAAGTTTGTAATTAGCATCACTACAAACCAGAAATTGTCATGTTGCATATGTGACATCAACGCAGAATCTCCTCTCCCCAAAGTAACTGCTACTTACCAAATGACCAGATTCATGGTGGTTCTTTCCTCCTGTGGGAAGTTTGCTGAACTTACAGACCTTTTCCCTCAGTTTTCTCCATGTCTGGTTAGATGACGTCACTTTCATGAGGCGCATTTGTATTCCCGTACTCATTTTCACACAAAACCTAAAATAGCGTTCCCCTATTTGAAAATAAGGGCGTTCTTGGTATGATGTCTGTGAATTTCAAAGACACACTTTGATCTGTGAAATCCATGGCGCAAAACAAGCGGGATTAGGAAATAGCGTTTTTAGCCCCGTTGACTTGCATACATTTTTTTGTTAATCTGGAGACCCATGGTGTGGAAGAAGGTGGGTGTGCCTTCGGCTCCCTATTGGTACACGTCTCTGCCGAACTGAATGTTCCTTACTGAAAACTCCAAATCTGAATACATGTACTATTACACCCCAGATGTTTTTTGTACAACAAATGCTCCACAATATGAACATGTCATTATATCACCTAAACCACGACTAAACTAAAAAGAAATGCCAAGCAGAACAGAACATACCTTGAGTGTTCAGATAATAGTGTTTCCAAAGGGGTCGGAGTTTATGTTTTCCTCCTACATCCCAGATGGTGAATTTCAAGTTCTTATATTCTACAGTCTCCACATTAAAACCTTGAAACAGACCAGAAACAAGCTGGATTTAGGACAACATTTACTTGATCATACCGCCAGCCGATAAACCAAAACCCTTTACCTATAGTTGGGATGGGCTGCATGAACTCATCTTGCTTCAGCTTGAAGAGGATGGTGGTTTTCCCTGCTCCATCAAGTCCAAGAGTCACAACACGGATCTCCATTTTTGGACCAATGTGGACTCTATTATCCTAAAGAACAAAAGCAAGTTTTTAGAACTTTCATCTTTTTGTTCAATTCCGAGAGAACAGTAGGCCTAAGTAGTGGTGAAGAGGGAGCTGAGCCAGAAAGCCAGGCTCTCGATTTACCGGTCAATCTACATCTCAATCCTCACCTATGGTCATGAGCTTTGGGTAATGACCGAAAGAATGAGATCGCGGATACAAGCGGCCGAAATGAGTTTCCTCCGTAGGGTGGCCGGGCTCAGCCTTAGAGATAGGGTGAGGAGCTCGGACATTCGGGAGGGACTCGGAGTAGAACCGCTGCTCCTCCGGATCAAAAGGAGTCAGTTGAGGTGGTTTGGGCATCTGGTCAGGATGCCTCCTCGACGCCTCCCTGGGGAGGTGTTTTGTGCATGTCCTGCCAGCAGGAGGCCCCCAGGTCGACCCAGGACACGTTGGAGAGGTTACATCTCCAATCTGGTCCGGGAACGCCTTGGTTTCCTGCCGGAGGAACTGGTGGAGGTGGCTGGGGTGAGGACTGTCTGGAGCTCCCTAGTTGGGATGCTGCCCCCGCGACCCGGACCCGGATAAGCGGAGGAAGATGATGACAGTAGGCGGGGGTGGTTTGTACCTTAGTGAAGGTGACTGGGATGCCTGCATCCAGCTGAATGTGATCTGCGAGCTCAGTGAACTGGTGCTGCTGCTTCTGAAGTGTCTCCAGCAAACAGTTGATCTCCTGCTTTGCCAGCACAACTCTGCAGTCGTCCTACACCAAGAAAGAAGCAACACACATCAGACACCCTTACATACACACAAGCTTAAAGGTTTCATTCAGTTTAGAATAAATCTGCTGTGGTCTCTATAGGCAAGGCAGCTTTATTTGGCAAATGCAAATCGAAGTGTTTTACAGAAGTAAGAAGAGCAAACAGAAAATCAAACAAAGAAATGTAGACATTAAATTCAGATTTAACAAACAGATAAAAGGCATAGTCAAAAGGTTAGCAGTTACAGAGCAGAATGTGCAGCATAACAAACATTTATTCATAGGCTGATGAATACATGAAGGTATTTCATTTTGATTTAAAGAGCAAGTCACCCCCAAATCACTTTTTTTTTGCTGATAAACTATATAAAGGAGTGTCTAATCATGCTGCAGACACGTGTAGTCAATAATTTGGCAGTTCAGTGCATCTTGGTTAAAATTCACATATTCTTCCTAAAACTGTCAGTGTTGCGCCGTCGTCAGGGAAAAATTCTGCACTGTATTTGAATTTAAATCTGCCACTGCTATTGGCTAAGAGGTATGCTATGATGTCATCTGGTATATTGTGATGTCATAATTCCATTGTGAGCCTGTGTGTGTGTGTATTTGTTAGCGGCTCCGCCCTCTCGGTCTGCTAAGCAACAGCATTTGTTGCATTTTTCAAACATGAAGTGGGAGTGAAGTAAGTTTCTTGTAGGGGGTGACTTGCTCTTTAAAAGTCATTAGATTTGGGACACATTTGAGGTCATGAGGAAGCTAATTCCATCTGTGTGCAGTAGCGATGGGTGCCGAATTCGGTACTTTTTAAGGTACCGACCGAATTCCATAGTACCAACTGAGCACCGATTCATGCCATTTGAAACGGTGCCTCGTTTTGGTACCCGTCCTTCATAACGAGAACTTGTCTAGACAGCTGTGCATGCGCAAGAGCGTTACGTTGGTCACTGCGAGCCAGTTGTAAACAGAGCAGCATGGTAGAAAGAAAGCCCACTAAAGCTTGGGTCCACTTCACTAAATGTGATGGGTAACTGGGTGATGATGAAACCAGCGACAACGATCTAAGTGAGACATCCTCATCTTAATCTGCTCCGGTAGGTAAATAAAATGTTTAAGATAACGTTAGCTTGATTTGTTAGCTTCCGTTTCAATAATGGTGCGTTCGGTTTCTCCTTGGAACTCCGTATTTCCGACTAGAAGAACATGAACGCGCTCTAAAAATTGGCTTCACTTTACTAAATGCGACGGGTGATTGGGTGAAGATAAAACCAGCGACAACGATCTAAGTGTGAGGCATCATCGTTTTAATCTGCTCCAGCAGCTAAATAAACTGTTTAAGATAACGTTAGCTTGATAAATTAGCTTCCATTGCCACTAGGGCTGGGCGATATGGCCTCAAATCTATATTGCGATATAATCGGAAGCATGTGCAGTAACGATATATATTGCGAAATATTTTTTCCTCTGTTTATTTATGTCAAAATGATATGCTTTTAAATATCCTCATGTGGCAAATATATGCCACTTGAGGCATATAGGCCTCCTCCTCCGCCCACTCCATGCTTGCGGTCACTGCCATTCTGTTGCCCCAATGTCAGCAGGGTGCGCATCTTAGTGACGTCATGCGGTATCATTACCCAATTTTATATTGTTTCTACTTTATATTGTTTATATTTTGGGGGACGCTCCAGGAGTATGGGGTGGGTGGCTTTCTGTTATGGGCCATTCAGTCCCTTTACCAGAGGAGCGTGAGTTTGGTCCGCATAGCCGGTAGTAAGTTCCCGGTGAGGGATGGACTCCGCCAGGCTGCCCTTTGTCACCGGTTCTGTTCATTACCTTTATGGACAGAATTTCTAGGCGCAGCTGTGGTGTGGAGTGTGTCAAGTTTGGTGGCAGGAGAATCTCGTCTCTGCTTTTTGCGGATGATGTGGTCCTCCTAGCTTCATCCAGCTCTGACCTTCAGCTCTTGCTGGGTAGGTTCGCGGCCGAGTGTGAAGCGGCTGGGATGAGGATCAGCACCTCCAAATCTGAGACCATGGTTCTCGACCGGAAAAGGGTGGCTTGCCATCTCCGGGTCGGGAGAGAGGTCCTACCTCAAGTGGAGGAGTTTAAGTATCTCGGGGTCTTGTTCACGAGTGAGGGTAGGAGTGATCGGGAGATCGACAGGCGGACTGGTTCAGCGTCTGCAGTGATGCGGACGCTGAGCCGATCTGTCGTGGTGAAGAGGGAGCTGAGCCAGAAAGCCAGGCTCTCGATTTACCGGTCGATCTACGTCCCAATCCTCACTCATGGGTAATGACCGAAAGAACGAGATCACGGATACAAGCGGCCAAAATGAGTTTCCTCCGCAGGGTGGCCGGGCTCAGCCTTAGAGATAGGGGAGGAGCTCGGACATTCGGGAGGGAGGCGGAGTAGAACCGCTGCTCCTCCGGATCGAAATGAGCCAGTTGAGGTGGTTTGGGCATCTGGTCAGGATGCCTCCTCGACGCCTCCCCGGAGAGGTGTTTCGGGCATGTCCTGCTGGCAGGAGAGGTTACATCTCCAATCTGGTCCAGGAACGCCTTGGGGTCCTGCCGGAGGAGCTGGTGGAGAAGGCCGGGGTGAGGACTGTCTGGAGCTCCCTAGTTGGGATGCTGCCCCCGTGACCCGGACCCGGATAAGCGGAGGAAGACGACGACGATCGTTTATATTGCCCATCCCTAATTGCCACCATTGTTATCAGCTAATGGTGCGTTCGGTTTCTCCTTGGAAATTCTAACTTCCCAGTAGGAAAAATCAAAGACAAAAGGACGGCAAAACGAATGAAGATACACAGTAAATTTAGTTCACAGTAAAGATGTTTGCTTCAGTTTAATTATCAGCTTATAAAACCACAAGGACGATGTTAAAATACAAACAGTTGTATGTAATTTATCGTGATATTTATCAAATATGGTTATAAATTGAGAAAAATATATATTTAATTATAAAAGAGAATTAAAATATTAAACACTCAAAAGTATCTAAAATTGGTACTGTTAAGTACCGGTATCGATTCCTAGGTACCGGGAATTAGTACCGAATCGATTCAAATGTCAAAGGTACCCATCCCTTCACCATGCTTGGTTCTGACCCGGGTTCTACCAGCTGACTGCCAAGGATCTGAGAGCCCAGCTGGGTGTATATACTGGAAGGAGATCCAACATGTACTTAGGCCACATGCCATTGAGGGATTTATAGACTAGTAGAAGCTCTTACAAGTCGATTCTGTAGTTTACGGGTAACCAGTGTAGGGAACTGGGGTGATGTGCTCGGTTCTTTTGGTTCTTGTTAAGACTCTAGCAGCAGCAATCTGAATAAGCTGCCATTGTTTTACAGCTGTTTCTCTCTAGTATGAGACAAGAGGTTTTCTGTGGGAAAAAGGATCTGGCGTTCCTGTTTCAGGGAGCAGATGTGGGGATGGAAAACTGCTCATTAATATTCATGCTATGCAAACATCTCAACTCTGACAGCAAATGTGACTCTTCCACTGCTTTTTTTTTCACTCTTCCATTGATGTTTTACCTCCACAAATAACACAAGCCTGTTGTGCCCCGCCATGTTGAGAAGTTGCTAATACTAACATTTAGCTTCTACTGGCCGAGATGCACTCACATGGGGGGAAAAAAGTCTCATAAGATTTGTGTGTGTAGAAAGATTTATGCATGTGTAACTCTTGATTTGTAACTTGCGTTTACATTTTCATGTGCAACTTCAGCTCCTACTCATACAAATCATTAAATACACACATAAATGGTACACATGGACAAAACTACATTACACACAGATCCGTTTACAAGTACAAAAATCCTTTTGAGAATCTTCTCTCACCTGACTGATTTGTGCATACATGCTGCATTTGAATGCTGGGTAGAAGCTGGGAAATCTGAATTTCCTTTGGATTTAGTCTAACTTTGTGTTGACGGGACACATGTGTTTGAAAAAACAGAGTATCTCAGGATCCTGTAGTTATAAAAGGACACACACACACACACACACGAATAATTCGAGTACAAAAACGCCTCGAGTCAAATTCTCTGCCTCGAGGCTTCGTTTAAATCCACAGTGTTGACTTATTTTAACAAGTTTCCTCTACGCCGCATTTTTCGCTGCAGGAGTTAAAGTTTACATCACGGAGAAAAAGTTCAGCAGATACGTTTGTTTATATTTGGCCGCTGCGTGCCGGTTGTGGGGAGGGAGGGGGGACTCGGTGCTGCACACAGACAGCTGGTGTGATCAGCTCTGAAAAGCTTTGATCACAATTTGCAGATCACGTTTATTTTTCACGAAGATCGGCTGTGGATTCCTCTTCCGTCGGCATGCTAGGAATCGAAGCTAGGAATCGAAATAAAAAACGTTGAGCGATTCCGGGAAAAATGAACAGTTGGAACTGGTTCCAAATGATTCTGGATGCCCAACCCTATTTATAAGAGTACTCGATTAATCGATAAAAGATTCGATAGAGTACTCGATTACAAAAATATTCGATAGCTGCAGCCCTAATCTGGATACACACACACAAATATCTACATACACACACACACCCAAATCTACACACACACACACACATATCTACATACACACACAAATCTAGATACACACACACACCCAAATCTAGACGCACGCACGCACGCACACGCACACGCACACACACACACACACACACACACACACACACACACACACACACACACACACACACACACACACACACACACACACACACACACACACACACACACACACACACACACACACACACACACACACACACACACACACACACAGATCTTTTGAGCCTTTTTTTCTCCCCATACCCTCTGCTCTCTCCCGCATACTAAATCAATACAGCAAGAGAATTGAGAATTACGTTTCCAACCTGTTGAAGCGTTTTTTCGCAGTGCAGACAGGCAGTGGACACCTGAGACAACAGGATGGTCATGTCCTCTTGCTGCTGCCTCAGCCAGATCAGCCTCTCCCTAACGTGAGCGTCCACCACGCTCAGCGCCATTTCCTCTTGACGACACAGAGTCTCGTGGAGATCAGCGAAGTAAGCCCGGACACAGGAGCGCGCGCTTTCCGCTGTGCCGGGGACCTGAGGAGCACACGGAAAAGATGCCAGAACCAGAGGAAACCATAGGGATGAGAAGGGAAGCTCAGTAATTTATCTTACATGTTCGGTGTGTGCCATGCCCACACCGTCCTCCACTATCTGCTCGCCGCCCTCGATCTGCTGCACGATGCCCACGAGCTTCCTCGAGTACTCAGACACCTCCTCTGTGAAGGTACGGATGCAGTGGGCCATGTCCAGAATGGACGCGCGGATCTGATTGGCTTCCGACTCGAGAAGAGCGTGCTGAATAGAAAGTTTGATGAGCGCTTAAGATTAAGACTTCACAAAAAGCCCGTTTCAGGATGTTCTCCACATACTTTATGTCCCTGGTGCTTGCCATACTCCTTACACACACAGCACATGAGAGGCCCAGACTGACAGGCCTCTTCCAGACAGACGAACTCAATGGCGTGAATTTGATGCTGCGGGCAGAGTGTTTTCTCATGAGGTTTATCAGCCAGTGGCACGCGGCGGTGTTTGGCCAACGTACGAGTGGAGTGGGTGAGCTGGGAGCACTCGGCACACAAGTGGGTGGCGCACACCGTGCAGTACATGGACGCCGTGTGGCTCTCGTCCTCGTCACATCGGATTATACACTGAGGAGTAAAACAAGGAAGTCAGCAGGTGCAACATGACTTATAGAGGCTCCTACAACAGCCGCCTTACTTCTCCCATGCCTTTCAGTGCATCATCGGCCATTCCTGACTGGTTGGTGGCTCCATTCTGGAGTCGCTCCAAGAGTTCAAGCAGAGCAAAGTTCTTCTTTAGGCCCCAAACTCCAGAGTCCCCTAAGAAGACGTGAAGAAAGACGAACAGATTATATAAATAAAATGACCAAACATCCCTTTCATATTATGCATTGTATTTACTGGCCAGTGGGGGGAGCAACTTATATATGAATAAAAGTATCGGTCTGCTGTAGTCGTTGACTGGTTCGTGGGGCACAGCCTGGACAGATCACTGGTCAGGGTGTAACCCACACAGGGACACACGAATGGAGGGGTTTAAACAGCACCAAATCACAACGTAAGTCGTCTCAAGGCACTTCACAAGGTTCACAACCTACTTATCAGTGCAGAGTTCACTTCATTATGCCAGTTTCCTGTGTAAGGAAACCCAGCAGATAGCACTGAGTCACTGACTTGTTGTGTTAATTCAAATTCTAAATTCAAAAATACTTTATTAATCCCAGAGGGAAATTGATTCAAGTGTTTCAGTAGACAATTCCAAGACCAGACATACATACATAGACACTTAGACTTATTTAGAGACTTAAATAAGTCAGACACCTAAATAAAGTTCATTTAGAGCAGGGGTGTCGAACTCGAACTCACACTGGGCAAAAATGAAAAACCGGGACGAAGTCGCGGGCCAAACTCAATATTTTTTAAAAAGTGACGACAAATGTGCACATTTTCCTTTATCTGTAGATAAGAACGGTTGAACCTTTTTATTTGGAAACAAACTCATTTTTGCAGTAACACTGAATGTGGAATAACCAAATGACACACGAGCAAGTCGATTTTAAATAAAGCAACCACCAGTGGTATTCATTACTTATGTCTCAAATTTAAAAAATATATTTTACTCCTTAAAATCTGCATACATTCAGCATTTCTTCTTATTTTTTCTCTTTTGAGTGTTTCTATTTTATGTTTTCTGGTTTATTTTTTACTCTCCTTTGTTGCTCCTGTAATGAACGTTATTGCTGCTGTGACACCAAGCTTTCCCCACTGAGGGACAATAAAGGGATTTTCTATTTTATTTCTATTTCTATTCTTCTATCTGTAATCTTTCCTGTTTTAAAGTAGGTTTAATATATTTTCACAGGCCAACAACATAAATAAGAATAGTAATTCTCTTAAATGAAAATGCAATATCTCACCTATTAACTTTCATGCTTCGGAACAGAAAAGGTTAATAAAACCAAAACAATTCAATCCCAGTTTTCTCCACTCCGATTTCCTGTCATGCTCACCTGTTCCAGCCTGACCTGCATCTGTGGGGTTGGGCTCTGAGCTGAGGAAGGAGTTCATCAGTGAGAAACAGGTGCTCACACAGGTTTGTGCTGCTGGACATGGAGAGCACCTGGACCACGCAATTGTGTCGGGGAGGGGGATAAAAGCTGCAGCAGCCACAGAGTCATAGTGACTTGAGCGTGTCGCTAAACTGGAGTTAAGTCATCTCGGTCTGGAAGTTGGTCGGTGCGCTTTCTATTGTCAGCAGCAAACATTACTGAGCTGTTAAAATCCATTTCTGAGCTTCAAAGTCGACTAATTACGGATTAAACTCAGCGCTGAGTTTTTCTCCTTGAAGCATCAACATGTTCCATCTTTGTTGAAACACCCTTCCTCCTGCATCAATCTCACTCTTCCTGGGCATTTTGGGATAATGTGTAGAGTTATTTTCACTTGTTGCATTAATTAAACATGGAAGTGGATACACTGCAACCTAGTGGTGAGTCATTGCACTGGGAACACAATCGCCATGCATTATGGGAAATGTAGTTTATAGTTGATGTGCGCTTTGAAGCGGCATAGACCTATTTTAAGACACTTGAATCTCTCGCCCGTCGGCCTTGTGTCGGACACATGTGATTTAGAGCATTATTATCCAGATGCTATTAGTCAATGTAAAAATACATTTAAATTAAATTAAATTCTGCCACGACACTGGGCTGCCCAAGGATGTGCCTGACGTTAAATTAGCTTTACTAAGGACAAATATTGTCTGATGCTGATGTATAAAAAATGGTAGATATCGGCCTGATATACTGGTCCACACACACACACACACACACACACACACACACACACACACACACACACACACACACACACACACACACACACACACACACACACACACACACACACACACACACACACACACACACACACACACACACACACACACACACACACACACACACACACACACACACACACACACACACACAAATCTTTTGAGACTTTTTTCTCCCCATACCTACTGACCTGGTATGAGGAGTGCACCCACTTTTCATCACAGAGTTGGCGGAGAAAACCAACTACAGTGAGGTGAGCTGTGCTAACCCTGGCTGTTCCGAGCCGCTTTTGGCTGAGTAGCAATGTTGGGAAAAGGGTTAAACTCCCTTTGTCCTTCACTCTGTGAGCAGGAAGGTGAAACACTCCAGAGCATCCAATGCTTCCTCCCCCAGCCAATCAGTGACTGGCAGTCCTCTGACGTTGCGTTTTTCGTCCCAGTTTGGTACACTTGGAACCACTTTGAAGCAGACAAATAAAGGAGCAGCGACCTGGTACCCGTTACTAGTGAAACTGGGCTGAATCGAGTGGAGCTCTGCTTAGAAGGTACTGAAGGAAAAATCTACAAGTGCAACAGAGAACATTTACACCTTTGTCCAGATTCAATTCAAGCACCTTCAGAGTTTTCAAGACTTTCCAGCACCGTACAGTCATGATTTCCACACACATGGAGAGACGCTAAATGGACAAAATTATTGTCTTGCTGAATTTCATTATTGGTCTAAAACTCATGCACGTCAATTGGATATTTTTAGCGATGTCCCAATACGACTTTTTCACTTCCGATACGATATCGATGTTGCAGCCTTCAGTGTTGACCGTTACAGATATCAATCTGATACGATATCAGCACAAATCAAACATACTTTTACCCGTTTCCTAATGTGGAATGTATGAAAGGCTTGATCAACTGATATTACTCAACTGGAGAACAACAGCCAATAACAATAAGTATGAAAAAATTTCTTTTGTAACCATTGGTTGCTGTAGCTGCCCCTGGCACCATGAAGAAAAGAACGGAGAGCCTCGACGGGTGCATAAACTTTTATTCGTTTCTCTGGTCCAATGCCTTGGACTTCACTCCATGAGTTGCACTGTGAAAACTGTTTAGAGATATACAAAGCATAAATAAAAGGTGAACACAACTTCGATGTCATAACAGAAATGAATTATATTCTCACATTTACCTTGCTCCGCTGGCCAAGGATGCTAAACAAACCAATAAGTCCTTAAAGCTGCTTTATCTGTAGATTTGAGTGGGGATGGACAAGAATAACAAACAATGACTATAGAGTGTCGAACTAATAACCCAAACAAAAGCGTCAATACAGCAAAACTTACGTGGGGATGCAGTCGGCACTGTGCAGCTGAGGTGAATTTAGACCAAAGACATAATTTCAACACTTCAAAAGTGTTATCTTCTCTACAAACAACTTAACCCAAGCCATTTTCTCTGGAAGGGTGTGGCTTATATAAAATCTGTGAGCCAATTAAGAGTCATTGCCATCAGCTGCTCATCTGGCAGCTACAGTTGCAAAAATGTGAACCTTAACGAACCGCTTTTATAGGAGACTTTTGATGCCATCCGATATAATCCGATACAGTGTTTTTGGGCTGATATGGAATGACCTCCGATATCGGAATGGGACATCCCTATGTTTTACTTTGTGAAGTGCACCAAGACGACTTGTCGTTATTTGACGCTTTATAAATAAACTGAATTGAGTTTCACTTTCCAGTGTCAGCACCAATGCATGACTTTAAATAACGGAGATGTTGATGTAAACAAATACTGCAAGACTACACAAAGTTTTAGGACAAAGTCAAATCAAACCTACTACGAAGGAAGGTCTGGATCTGAAATGTGTTCATGTTTTATTTCCCTACATTAGACTGTTTTCGATTGTGAGCTCTTTTCTCTGCAGCCTAACAGCATATTTGCATCTGCCGTCCAAGAACCAGTAAAGTACACCCTGCATCTTATGATGACTGTGTATTCTCTGTGCTTTGCCACTCCAAGATAATTTCAGTCAGGAATACCACTTGGATGTTATGTTACTTCTGAGATGAATAGTTGTTTGTTTTTAGTGATTGAAGAAATATTTTTGTCATTTTCCCAGGCATCCTCAGAATTTGTTCAGTTCAATAAAATTCTACCAAATGTTGCAAATCTGCATCCTTCTTCGAAGGCCAAATTATGTTATGTCCTTCACTCACCCAGCTCGGTGACCTGTCGGTCAAAGGGGCAGCGGACCGCTCTGCCGTGGAGGGGCAACCGGGTGAGACAGTCGTGGCACACGGTGTGGCCACAGAGCAGAAGACGGGGGACCTTGTCACCTTGGAGGGAGAAGACGTCCTCACACACACCACACTCCAGCACCTGCAAGTGACAGCACAGCTTGAACACTGCCTGTCTATGTGTCTGTCTGTCTGTATCTGCTGCAAGGTGACTTCCACACTCAGGATCACGCACACTTGTAAGGAATTTTAATTTGTAACTTTAGGTTTGACTTGATGCAGAAAAGCAGAGGTACTTGAAAAATAGTGATGAGATAAAAAATCCCAGGGTGTTGCAGCCACTTTGACATAGTGACTCCCAAGGTAAACATCACGAGACGCTTTGCCCACATTTTATTCTGTAAACTAAAATTAATTCTTCCAACAGCTGCTACTGTACACCCTTATAATGCACTGACTAGCTGATTACTTGTTTTTGTTTATAAGGCTGCAGCGATCAGAAACTTGTGCTAATGCCAACCGGCGGTTTTCGAGCTGGTGCTAGCTCGCAGCAAACGCTTCTTAATGACAAACGAGTCTTCTGGAATGCATAAACGGCTACAATAACATGATGAAACGCGTTTGCACAGCTATTACACTGTCAAAATCCGTATTTGGCACCCACTGCCACCAACGCCAACGCAGCAGCCTTAGCTTCCAACTAGAAATACATCAAGCAAGTCTGAACCAGGGGACATTTATCACCAAAGCTAACCAAATAATATGTTCACAGCAATAACGACCTAGCTGCGGAAATTTGTGACATGTTTACGACCTTCACGGTGCTTCCACTGGCTCCCCTCCCGTGCCGGAGACAGGTCTCCATCGTCGCTCCTGCGCCCTGCTTGTTTATTCCTGCTGCAGCGGCGGCCATTCTTCGACGACGGCGAGCGAGAGAACTGAGCATGCGTGAGAGGATAATCCCTCAACAACTTCCGCGGTGTCAATTTTGGTATACTTTTTGTAGTAATTTTGTAACCCACGTTCACTAAATAAATCGCATAGTGATAAACAACCGATAAATGCCCCGCATTTGTATAGCGCCTTTCAGAGTCAGAGGACTCTGTAATTTCATTATTTTAATTGTCTTTACTTTTTACCCTTTAAACCATATAAGTCCGTGGTTGAAACGACCACCAAGCAGCTTCAGCTTTTTTTATTTGTTATATAAATCTAATGCTTTGCTTAACTGACTCAACTTTAATGTTTATTTACTCGTTCAATACATTTATCGAGAACAAACCACAGGCTTCTAACTACATGTCCCATCATGCTGCGAGAACGTTCCGTGATGATGACGCATTTTCTACGCGCCGTGTTTACAGAGAGGAGTTGTGGATATAAGCGGGATTCTACACGCTAAAAGCTGCGGCTTTAACGGTATAAACACATATTTGATTAAAAACGTATTTTTTGTTGTTTATAACCTGTTTTTATGTTTACTTACCTTTCAGTGAGCGGTTGAATTTCGCCATATGTTTATTCTGCGCGGCTAACGTTTTATGTTCGCGCATAAATGCCATTTTCTCACCACTCAGGTGGACTTGATATGTCTCAGCCAACACAGCAGACGGGGCCATCTGCTCCTGACTTCCCTGCTCTGGTGGTCACAGCAAACGTGCAGAAATATGCCATAAAGAAGAAGAAAATCCTGAGTGCTGAAGAAAGTGAGCTGTTTGAACTGACTCAGGCTGCAGGCATCACCGTGGATCAAGAAGTCTTTAAGTGAGTGAACCGAGACCGGTAGAAATGTGGTTCTTCACGCGGCGAATGAGTAAAGGATTCGTTTCTGCCCTCCTGTAGGATCATAGTGGACCTCCTGAAAATGAACGTGGCTCCCCAAGCGGTCTTCCAGACCCTGAAGGCAATGTGTGCAGGACAGAAAGTAGCCGACAGCTGCATAGAGGCTTCAGTTGTCTCCCACACAACAAACACCACCCCAGCACCCACCGAGGTCAAAGGTCAGTGTGTAAAAACTGGGCTTTAGTTTTGAACTTCAAGTGTTACTCCAGCATGGAGGGATTCTCTTGCTGATGCAGTTAAAAATCGCACTTGTACTGTGCTTTTCTAAGTCAGGGACTCCAAAAGTGCGTTACACTACAGTCAATAATTCACCCATTCACACTGATGATGACCCACCAGTTACCGGGTGAACTAACCCCTGAGCCACCATCAATTTATATTGGGTGAAATGGTTTTGTGATCAGTAGTTTCTAGTGTACCCATTTCAACTTGATAAAATAGTTACAGTAATAAAATATTTATTTTTGTCACTGCTGATCGGTTCACTTGTCAAAACAGAAGATACGCAATAAATAACTAGTCAGCAACAAGAAGCAGATATGGGCGGCCATGACGGAATGGGGGTAGATCAAAAGGTGAGCCGTTCGATCTCAGCCCACTAAGCCTCAGGTACGGGTCAAATGCAGAGAATGTCCAACAGAAAGATAAAAAAGTATAAATTATTATTATTATTTTCATCATATGAGTCACCCGACCATCACTAATGCCTGCTATGTTAGTCAATGGTACTTAGAAGTGTGTAATTTAGCAAAAGCCAGTTAGGGTTTCTAATCCCATTTATGATTACATTAAAATAACAGAAGAAAACAAGTCATGGTTAATTAAAAAAACTAATTCAATTTGTTGTGGTTTAACATTTCCATTCAAAACTATTTTAATGTGTTTTTGTTCTTCCTCATGCTAATTAGGGTTGTCACGGTGTGAAAATTTAACCTCACGGTTATTGTGACCAAAATTACCACGGTTTTCGGTATTATCGCGGTATTTTTTTAAATGTGTTACATTTCCACACAACTAAATAAACCCTGTATGTCAGGAAATATTGTCCTCAGTTTGTGTCTAAATTTTGCCTAAAATATGTTATTTTGTAATTATGTTGTTTATTTGTTTACATTTTTCCCCTTTAGTCTTTAAAATACCAATATTTGCCCATAACTTCTTATTTTTTGTCTGTTTGATGTCATCATTTTAAAAATATTAGATCAGATGATACTCAGTACTCAAGTAGCCTTCTAATCAGATACTTTTTTACTCTTACTTGAGTAATAAACCCTATATCAGGAAAATATCGTCCTCGGTTTGTGTTCTTCCAGTGAGCTTTGCAGATGTGGGAAAATGTCATCAGGCAGTAATCATTGTTAAATTCATAATTATTGTCAGAGAGAGACCAACTCTTATCTGCCCCTGGGAGCCCCGTAATGCATAGCGTCATTTCAACATGGGGGTGTCCGTGACACGGTTTATATGCAGGTAGCGGCGCTGCGGCTCCTTTATATAGCGACTCGTTGCATTCTCCCTCAACCCAAATCCTCGGATCACGCATTTTAGCTAAAACGCTAACGTTAGCTTGCCTTGCGTTGAGTGTAGAGTTGTGGGTGATGGTCATGCAGATGTGTCATGAGATTTGAAGCGTTGCTGCCTTTCACGGACACTTTTTCTGCACGTGCTGCAAACAGGATAGCCGTCTTCTATCAACTGTCCCTCGGCATTCTTCAAACATCCAAAAGATGCCCGTACTTCCCACTTTGTCTTCTTTGAGGGATAATAAATGTCATGAGCGCTGCCGTCTCCTCCTTTGGCCGTTATTTCAGCTTCAGCTTCAAGAAAGTTTTGGTTGTAAACAACAAAGTGCGCATGTGCCGCCGGCAACTTCAGCAGATGATACGGTGGCTGGTAAGGGTCACCGCGCCTACACCGCAGCCACGGTAAACCCACCGAGATAATAGATTTTTTAAAAAACAAGACGGTTATTATTATTGTCAACTTTTTTACCGGGAATTACCGCTACACCGGTTACCATGACAACCCTAATGCTAATCAAAAAATTTTTTTTACAAAAATGTCTCTACGCCAATAAAATGTTACCCTTCTTGAACCGCAGTCGAGGGTTTCAAACGAGCAGCGGGCCGCACTTTGGACTTCCCCGATGAGGTTTATTAATGTAAATGTCATACACTTGGGCTGATAAAAACTCCTCTTCCTTTTATCCTCGTGATTAATCCATTTGTCTTTTTTACTGTCGTTTTGATCTTGTATGTTGTGTCAGCACATACAAAAAGGAAAACTTTGTTTTGCTTATAAGGAGAAGAAACCTTTAGAACTTTTCAAATAAAGAGAGAGTTTTTGTTTCTTAGGATTTTAGCTGTTTTCTTGCTTCAGTTTGAGTCCAGTGCTTGTTTATGGGTGTTTCTAAACTACCTAAACATTTTACCACTGAGAAACAACTTGATCAGATTATAAAGCACATTGCTTCTGAAAAGAATGGACCCTTGTTGTTTCTGCACACAACTTCGAAATGAACCAGTATTTAGTGTGTTTATGACGTTGTCTGTAGCTTTTTGCAAAACAATCATTCCATCTAACCAACATCTGATCTGATCTTAGAGCTGTCCAGCTTCCTACAGTGTCATGTTTGTCTGCACCTAAAATGATATTTTAACTTCGAAAACTCATTCACATTTTGTTCATTGGAGTGGTGCTAGGTAGTCAGAACAATAGAGGTTTTTCTTGTCTCACTGACTTTTCTTTACTTTTCAGTTTTTTTCAAACCTGTAAAAAGTTCACATCCCTCCACTTAACTTCTTCACCACACCTCATTAGTGAAGACCAAACAGAAGCTGGTCTTCTCTCCGTGCACATCATGATTATTTCTAATTTCTTTTCTATTTCCTTTTCAATTTTTGTGTATTTTTTCTGTGCCTCCTTTATCCTGAAGAAGACAGCTCTGTGGTCTCTGGAAAAAGCCCTAAGCCTCCTGCAGCTCTCCACTCAGCATCAGGCCCCAGAGCCACAAGGGTCAACACTAAGATTGTGGTCTATGGCCCCCAAGATGCTAGCTCTCCTCAGTCTCCAGGTCCCTGCTGCAGCACCACCACCCACACCTCCATCTACTCCCCCACCGTGCTTGTTTAAGTTCAATTTAGATCATTTTTACACATTTGCTTTAGTATCTACTTGTATGTATGTGAAGTAGAAAACTAAAACATTCCCTTTTGGTTTTCTCTTTCAAATGGATGTTTTCCTATTTAATTTGATTTCATTTGAAAGTGGCTAAAGCAACACTATTCCTCAAATATGTGGTGCCATTTTATATTAGGGTATTTTAGTAATCCATTTTTTGTTCCTTTCTTACACAGTTTAGCAAAAGTTATGTGTTTACCTTACATGTTTCAGCCAGTAGCTCTAGCCATCCTCAGAGATCGCTGGTGATGATGGCGTTTCACAAAACCCAGATAACCATCAATATAATAGTAAACAGGATCAGACAAGACAAAATTTTACATAAAAGGACAAACCTCACAGCAGACGACATAGCACGATTGATAGAACTGGTAGATAACTCCAGTTACTTCACTTACTGTGGAACTATATGCAAACAACTAGAAGGCTTCACCATGGGAAACCCACTATCAGCCACCCTTTGCGAGTTTTCACGGAAGATCTGGAACAGAAAGCCATAGCCACTCCCCCCAAGACTGCAAAATAAAACAATGGAAACTAGGGATGGGTACCTTTGACATTTGAATCGATCCGGTACTAATTCCCGGTACCTAGGAATCGATATCGGTACTTAACGGTACCAATTTTCGATACTTTTGAGTGTTTATTATTTTAATTCTCTTTTATAATTAAATATATTTTTTCTCAATATATAACAATATTTGATAAATATCACGATAAATAACATTCAACTGTTTGTATTTTAACATCGTCCTTGTAGTTTTATAAGCTGATAATTAAACTGAAGCAAACATCTTTACTGTGAACTAAATTTACTGTGTATCTTCATTCCTTTTGCTGTCTTTTGCCGTCTTTTTTCATTTGATTTCTCCTACTGGGAAGTTAGAATTTCCGAGGAGAAAGCGAACGCACCATTAGCTGATAACAACGGTGGCAATGGAAGCTAACATATCAAGCTAACGTTATCTTAAACATTTTATTTACCTACCGGAGCAGATTAAGATGAGGATGTCTCACTTAGATCGTTTTAGCTGGTTTCATCATCACCCAGTTACCCATCACATTTAGTGAAGTGGACCCAAGCGTTAGCGTGCTTTCTTTCTACCATGCTGCTCTGTTTACAACTCGCTCGCAGCGAGCGACGACATAACGCTCTTGCGCATGCGCAGCTGTCTTGGCAAGTTCTCGTTATGAAGGACGGGTACCGAAACGAGGCACCGTTTGAAATGACGTGAATCGGTGCTCGGTCGGTACTATGGAATTCGGTCGGTACCTTAAAAAGTACCGAATTCGGTAACCATCCCTAAAATCGCTACGTAGACGACATAAGTAATCATTCCCAAAGGACCAATGGAGACACTAACAAAACTCCTGAAGAACGTCAACGTCACCAACAACATAAAGTTTACATATGAAGAACGTTCATGGACTTAAGAATAACCAGACAGACCAATACTTATTATGGACATCAGAACATCATAAAATGTCAGTTATCAGAACTTTATACAACAGAGGAAATATAATAACAGAAGAACAAGATCACAAACTGGAGCACCGACACATACAAAGTGCATAAAAAAAACCTGTGAATACCCAACAGGGGCAATAAGCGAAGGAAAACTACAAACAACAATAGAAAAGAAAAAAGAACCAAAACCAGTAATAACCCTTCCGTATATCAAAGGCATAACTGAAAAAAGAATAACAACGATGAAAAAACATAATATCAACACACCAACAAAACCATACATGACGGTCTGAAAAAGACTACACCCATGAGGCAAGATATCAGCAGATAAATACAATGTGGAGTCATGTACAAAATACCTTGCAATCTGCAATAAAACTCACATAGGGGAAAACCGGACGCCAACTCAACACAAAAAAAGAACATCAGAGGGAAACAAGTCAAAGACACACAAAAGCAGAAAAACAAGAAGCAGAAAGTGCAATAAAGAAATCAGCTGTAACAGACCACTGCACAAGGGAAAACCACACAATGGACTGGGACGTTACATAAATCATAAAAACAGAACAACAAATATATAAAAGATGGATAAAAGAAGCAATAGAGATAAGGAGGCTTGCACACAGGACCATGAACAGAGACGATGGAACACACTCATCGGATCACGCGTTGGACTGTGTCATCAGCAAGGAGGACGATCTCTGAGGATGGTTAGAGCTACTAGCTTAAACATGTAAGGTAAACAAAGAACTTTTACTAAACTGTAAGAAAAGAAAAAAACTGGATTACGGACAAAAACGCAGTACGAACGCACAAAAGATTTTAGCAATCGGTTTAAACTACATCACCTTAGAGTTGTAAGCCTTGGTGAAAGACTGGATGAAGGTTTTACATTTCATGGTTATTTCAGCAGAATTGTATTTAAGTTCTGTTTGAAAATGCTACAAATGGCTCGCTTCAAAGCTAATTTCTGCATCTAATGAGGATAGAACAAAATGTAAACAAACCAATGCTAATGCAAAGCTTACAAGCTATAAAAAATTGGTCTTGTCACAGCTGTTACTATTGGCTCATCAGTCTGCTCAGAATTAATCTCATTTCCACAAAACTGAGGTTGTTTAAAGACCAAACAGGCAATTTAATACATGTTCATGTAGGGCTGGATGATTCCCATCACAACATTTGTCATATCATTTTATATCATGAAATAAAACAAATCAATATTTATGTCAATCCTTAAAGGGATATTTCACCCCTAAGTGAAATTTCGTCTGTTGCCATATTCCCCGGGGTTAGATAAGTGGGATGAAACATTTTGTATTCTGTTAGCTTTAGCTTAGCACAAACAATGTTAGTTGATGGTAACAGCTAGCATTTTGTGTGAAATGGTCTTACAGATGACTCAATGATCCAATGTTTCTTTGTGATCTCAGCAATCATATTTATTAAAAATGAGAATAGAAGAAGAACAAATTTTTTATTTAGCTCCTCAAGATAAAGATAATGTGGCGCTTCATGAGAACATCCATCCATCCATTGTCAGCCGCTTATCCAGAGTCTGGTCGCAGGGGCAGCAGCCTAAGCAGAGAGGCTCAGACTTCCCTCTCCCCAGCTGCTTGGGCCAGCTCCTCGGGGGAATCCTGAGGCGTTCCCTGGCCAGCCGAGAGATTGTCCTTCCAGCGTGTCGGGGTCTTCCCTTCGGTCTGCTCCCAGTTGGACGTGACCTATAGACCTCACCAGGGAGGTGTCCAGGAGGCATCCTGACCTCAACTGGCTCCTCTCGAAGTGGAGGAGCAGCAGGTCTACTCCAAGCCCCTCCCGGATGACCAAACTTCTCGCCCATCTCATGCTTTTGGTCACTGCCCAAAGCTCATGGCCATAGGTGAGAGTAGGAACGTAACTCAACCGGTAAATACAGAGCTTCGCCTTCCGGCTCAGCTCTGTATTCACTACGACGGACCGGTACAACGCCACATCACTGCAGAAGCAGCACCAATCCGCCTACCGATCTCATGCTCCATCTTTACCACACTCGTGAACAAGACCCCAAGATACTCCTCCACTTGAGGCAGGACCTCGTCCCTGACCTGGAGAAGGCATTTGACCCTTTTCCGATTTCACGAGAACAAAAAAATTAAAAATTATTAAAATATTGTAATAAAATATGGGGGAAATGGAGAAATTTTTAATTAATCACTGAGCAGGAAGAAAGAAAATTAATAGAAAGAAAAGTTAATACGGGATCCTGAAAGGGACAGAATAAGTACAAGAAGGCACAGGAGCCAAATTGGATTTGGGGTTCCATTATGACAAAGCGCAGCTGTAAGGCATAAGGACAAGACAAGTGGCCACACGCGACACCTACTTCATCAGTCATGTTCACTTTCATTTTTAGATCTATTTACTGTGCTATTCTTCAAAAAACTGTACCTGGTGTAAGCACAGTAGCCACACATTTGTGTTAATACAAGTATGTGTCTTTTTGAATTTGAATGATTTAAATGCTAGCGGTAACCATTCACTTACATTGTTTATGCTAAGCTAAAGCAAACATAATTCTGACAGATTAGGAGAATGGCGTGGCTGGTTACAAAATGGTTTTTCCCACATTTCTAACTCTGGGGAATATAGCAACAGATGAAATTTCACTTGTGGTGGAATATCCCTTTTATCCCTAGTATGTTAACTAGCCAAAATACATCCACACAACTGAACAGTTTGGTCTTTTTTTCATCTATGATTCACTCTGTCACCTGTATTTTCTTTCCTTTTTGGGGAACATCCTACCTGTTACCTGCAATACGAAGCTAAGGCTGCACAAACATGAGCAGTGCGTCCATCTGGCTGCTGTGTGGCTGTATTCCAGCCACTGATTGGTCCAATACACAGCAACACTTAATATGATTGGCTGTTTCTCTGTTTTTATTTTAAAATTACAATAAACGGTAATGCTGATTTTTACAGTCCCTTAATTACTAAGTACTTACGTTGTAATTACATAGTAAGTTAAAGTGTATTGTTGTTTCTGCGTTCTTAAACAGTTATTACCATGTAGGGCTGGGCGATATGGCCTAAAATAAATATCACGATATATTGAGGACTTCGCCTCGATAACGATAAATGGACGATAACTACAGGTATGTGCAGAAACAAAAGTTGTCCACTAGATGGAGCTGTCACATGTATTACGGCGAGTCACGTTTTCACCTGACTCAAGGTGGTACAGCTTCTTAAAGGGACAGGAATGTTGCCAACCTACACACATCTTTTCATTTTTTAATTATCAAATGTTTTGACATGGGAAAAATTATCTCAATAAGAGTCAGAAATTTCGATAACGATAAATTTTCTATTTATTGCCCAGCCCAATTACCATGTAACTTAGGTTAAATTCTATTTCAATTCTAGTTTTTAGTTTTATTAATCATTCCCAGTAAATACTGCATTACATAATAATTACACTTTATTCAGGGTATCCGCGGGTCCTTAAAAAGTCTTAAAAAGTCTTAAATTTACTTTTCCAAATTTAAGGCCTTGAAAATCCTTAAAAATGACAAATAATCCTTAAGTACTGTTTCCAAAGGTCTTAAATTACCAAAGACCCAATAAACTAGATTATTTTATTTCTATGACATCTTCGTGAATTTCTAGTTAGTTTTCAGCATTTTTTGTGTATGATGTTGGCAAAAGTGGAACAGTACACATTCAGTTGGTTGTGTAAGGGGGCTATTTTTGGATGAGCACATTAGCTGGTTAAGCTAGTGGGAGCTTGCGCCATGGGGAACTGCAAGTTTAATGGTAAATGGATGGTTAATACCACGTTCGCGACGTGCTTAGCACCGGTTCCAGGCAATAGCTGGAAATTATAGCAGAAATAAAATTTTTAAAAATAGCTTACATTTGGTCAAAGTGGCCTTAAAAAGGTCTTAAAAAGTCTTAAATTTGGCTCCCTTAAACCTGCAGATACCCTGTTATTACAATTATACAATTTAATTACACAATAATACACTTTAACTTACTATGTAATTACCATGTAAGTACTTAGTAATTAGTGGACTGTAAAAAGAAGCGTTACCCTATAAACATTTATAAACATTTTCGCCTCAGACCCATAAATTATGAATGACAGAAACTCAGCTCTAAATGTGACGAGGTACAAAAATAGTTTCCTGAGGGTCTCAACCCCAACTTTGGGAAGGACTGCTCTAAAAACACATGACGTTTGTTCCAAAATCGCTTTGTGGTCATTGATGATTCTCAAATCAAGTGTGCAGTGTTTGTGTGCTGTACTGTTTTTTTATTGGTTTGTCATCCTTCTGTCTCACCATCCCCTTGTAACATGCCCTGTACAGGTCCTTCTAAAAAAATTAGCATATTGCGATAAAGTTCATAATTTTCTGTAATGTACTGATAAACATTAGACTTTCATATACATTAGATTCATTACACACAACCGGAGTAGTTCAAGCCTTTTATTGTTTTTGGTTTTCATGAGCTGTATGCCAAAATCATCAATATTAGAAACAATAAAAGGCTTGAACTACTTTAGTTGTGTGTAACGAATCTAATATATATGAATGTCTAATGTTTATCAGTACATTACAGAAAATAATGAACTTCATCACAAGATGCAATTTTTTTGAGAAGGATCTGTATTTTGATGTCATTCCCAACTCCATACATGTCAAGTTGCTTGGAACAATTCTATACCTGCCATCAACGTTTTTCTTTTGAAGTGTTATTTGTTTATTTGCATGTTCTTTTCGTTTATTTGTCTTGTTTTAGCTGTGCGCAGTAAAGCTGGAGCGGGTCAAACTGAGAAGAACAAAGACCCCTCCAGTCAGAAGGTGCAGCGGCAGTCCAGCGCCACTAGAGGGCAGAAGACTAAGAGCTCCGGAAGTAGCAGCTCCTCTTCTCATGTTACCTCCACATGAGTACTCAGGTCATTGTGAAACAAGCTGTAAATATGTAGGTTTTGTTACTATTTATGGGTTTAAAGGACTTTAAATCTTTAAATGTGTCTTTAGTTTTGTTAAAAGGTGCATTTTGTGCAGTCCATCTTCTTAAAAACATAAACTACAGACATTTTAATTATTCTGGATGTTTGATAGCAAACATATTTTCTATTTTCAGTTACTCATGTAAACATGTGAATAGTTGATAAAAATTAAAAAGTTGTCGCTCTGCATGTATTTACAGCTAAGCTGTATACTAAGCGTCAAACACAATTTCATTTTTGGACATGCTTATTAAAAGTTTTTTTGCACAATTTTCACAATCAATTTCTGAGCTAGTACTTCATAATTGTATCAAATGTGGAAAAGTCACTTCAAGAAATCTAATGGATTACAACTAGGGCTGTGCAATATGGCCTAAAATCAATATGATATATTGAGGATTTCACCTCAATAACAATAAATGGACATATCTACAGATATGCGCAGAAACAAAAGTTGTCCACTAGATGGGGCTGTCACATGTATTACGCTGAGTCACATTTTTACGTGACACAAGGAACATCGCCAACCTACACACATATTTTAATGTTTTTTATTATCAGATGTATTTACATGGGAAAACTTTCTCAATAAGAGTCAGAAATTTCGATAACGATACATTTTCTATTTATTGCTCAGCCCTAATTACAACCAACAAAACTCAAAGAAAAAAGTTGTAGTTTGAATATGTTTACAGAACAATGTAAATGTATTCAAGTGAACACTTTTTATACTATTGATACATTTAAATAAACCCAAGAACAACTAAATTACTCATTTTTAACGTGTGTTCGCCATCAGTCATCCAGCGCTCCCACGCTGCTCGGACTTTCGCTTTGAAGGACCGGTTCACTCCGATGTCCAGCGGCTGGAGTTCTTAGGTTAATCCACCCGGTATGATGGTGAGCTCCGTGTTCATCCTCTTCACCTGGATTTTAACAGCGTCAGGGAGATGGGCCCGCATGGAGTCACAGATCAGCATGGCTGGAGAAGTGTGGAAGAAGCCGACCCGTCTTTTGGTGTACACCTCCCGCAGCCACGCCGCCATCATGTCCTCATCCATCCAGCCCTTCGGGTTTGCCTTGATGATCACGCCGGCGGCAAACTTTTCTTTTGGTAAAGTTTTCCGCTTGAAGATGACCATCGGCAGCAGCTTCTGGCCATCAGCCTGGCAGGTGAGCACGACGGTGAAGCAAGACTTCTCGTGGCCGGTCGTCCGCACAGACACGTGCTGGTCTCCATTTCCTCCATGGTCCGGTTCACCGGGATGTCGAAGGTAAGCGGGACCTCGTCCATGTTGGTGATGTGCTGGGGCCGGATGTTTTTGTCTGCCATATTCTTAGTGCAACAGGAGTGGAACAACTCTAGCTTCTCAGCGTCACCTTTTATTTGGTGAGGTATATGTACAGTCTATGGGTGAGGGTGGGCGGTGCTACGGGCCGGCTCTTTGTTTTCCTGCGGACGCAGGTGTGGCTGGCTTCACTTACGTCCTTAATACTTGTATAAAAGGCGCATCCATATTAAAAGGCGCACTGCCGGTTCAGGGGAAGATCAAAGGTTTTTAATAGTGCCTGATGGTGCGGAAAATATGGTACTAATTAATCATCATCATTTAATGAGTATTCCCGTTTATCTGCAGGAAATCTAATATTTCTAATAATTTACTAGTCGCCATTAATACTAAAAAAAACCAAAATAATTCTATTGCGTTTGTAATTTGCAGAATGATTCTGAATTAGATTCAGGAAACATGTTAAAGATACAAGATGGAGTTTTGGTCTGTGTCCTGGTCCAGGAAGGCAGCACTAGGACAATTCAGAGGGATTACACATAGTCACACGTGACAGAGAAAGCACCAAGACAAAGAAAACAATGGTTACAACATTTTTAAAAGTTGGGAAGATTCTGTGAGTAAGGCTGCCACATTTTCCTGATAGTTGTTTACTTCAAAATCTGAGGTGTTTTAAATTCACCTGTTAGGTCAGTTTCTACTGAACAAATTCTGGGACATTTATTCTGGGAATAGGGAAGTTGACAGAAATTATATGCTGGCTCTGTCATCTCAGCCGTTTAAGGAATTTACTAAGACGTGAGCAGATAATGACCATTTAGGGCAATTGGTGGCAAAAGTCATCTAGCAGCATCCATCCATCCATCCATCCATCCATCCATCCATCCATCCATCCATCCATTCTCTTCCGCTTATCCGAGATCGGATTGTTGGAGCAGCAGCCTGAAGAGAGTCCAAGACTTCCCCAGCCACTTAGGCCAGCTCCTCCAGGGGAATCTCAAGGCATTGCCTCGCCAGTCAAGTAATGTAGTCCCTCCAGCGTCTCCTGGGTCTTCCTTTGGGTCTGGAACGTAGATCAAACGCAAACATTCCGGCTCATCTCTCTATTCACCACAACAGATCGGTTCAATGCCCTGATTGCTACAGACGTAGCACCGAACCGCCAATGGTCTTGCCGCTTCATCTTTCATTTACTAGTGAACGAGAACCCGAGATACTCCTCCACTTGAGGCAGGGTGTCATCCCTGAACTGGAGAAAGCATTCTACCCTTTTCTGACTCAAGACCATGGTCTCAGATTTAGAGGAGCTGATTCTCATCCTAACTGCTTCTCACCCGGCTGCCTACCTCTCCAGCGAAAGCTGGAGGTCACGATCTGATGAAGCCAACAGGACCACATAATCGGCAAAAAGCTGAGACTCAGTCCTTAGCCCACCAAAACAGATTCTTTCAACATCTTGGCTGCACCTAGGAATCCTGTCCATAAAAGTTATGAACAGAATCGGTGACAAAGAGCAGCCATGGCGAAGTATCTCACTGGAAACGAGCCCGACTCACTGCCAGCAATGTGGACCAAGCTCAGGCACCTAACAGCCCGTATCAAAGAGCCTGGTACCCCATACTCCTGGATTACCCCCCACAGGGCTCCCCATATGGACACAGTTGTACGCCTTCTCCAAATTCACAAAACGCATGTAGATTGGTTGGGTGAATTCCTCCTCCTGGGACCCACCTAAGGTTATAGAGCTTGTCCAGTGTTCCACGGACCCTCCTCTCCAGAACCCCTGAATAGACACTCAGTGGAAGCTCAGGGGTGTGATTCTACCTGCAGGTGCGGTCCCTCTTTTTAAACATCACCATCACCCTGGTCTGGAAATCCAACAGAACTGCCCTCAATGTCCATGCAATATTGCAGAACCGCGCCAACCATCACAGCCCCACGGCCTTAAGAAACTCCGGGCAGATCCGGGGGCCTGCAACTGAGGAGGTTTTTTTGACTATGCCAGTAACCCAAAGGGGTTTGAACGAATGACTGAGAACCTTCACCAATACATCTCAGTGACCTTGGCTCCAGAGATAGAAGAGCCCAACCCAAAGGCCCCAGACTTCTCTTCCTCACTGGTAGAAATGGTGATGGGATTGAGGAGGTCTTTGAAGTACCCCACCCACTGGTCCACAACGTCGCGAGTTAAGGTCAGCAGCACACCTTACCCACTGTAAATTGTGTTGGTAGTATACTGTTTCCGTCTCTTGAGATGCCAGATGGCGGATCATGTCCAGAATCTCCTTGAAGCCATTTGGAAGACTTGCTCCATGGTCTCACCGAACTTCTCCCACACCCGGGTTTTTACCTCTGCGACCAACAGAGCAGCATTCCGCTTAGATTGCCTCTGGAGTCCCACAGGTCAAAGAGGCCTGATAGGACTCTAGTCTTGAACTTTAGTCTTGTCTGGATTTAACAGCAGACAGTTTAGTCATCCAGATATCGTGTCTTCAAAACAAGCCTGTAATCTACCTGACTAGATTCATCAGGGTTTATGGATAAATATTACTGAGTATCGTCAACCTAACAGTGGAGGTTTATCCTGTGCTGTCTGACGATTTTTCCAATTGAAAGCATATATATATATATATATAGTAAACATAACCGGTCCAAGCACTGAACCCTGTGGTACTCCACAAGTAACCAAGAAGATTTCTCATTTTCATGTACAAACTGAAACCTATCAGACAGAAAAGATTTAAACCAGCCTAGCGTCGTTTCTTTTATCCCTACATGTTCGAAAATATTGCGATCAACTGATTGAATTCTGTTCTGAGGGATCAACATTTGTAAGGCAGACATCTTTTTGACCATTTTACAAATACGTACACACATAAGGACTCAGACCCAGGAGAGACGTATAAACAAAAGAGTAAATCTGCGAGTATTTACTAGAGAGATCATTTCAGTGTAGAACTCTGGCACGTGGTAGATATGGATTTCTTTTACGGATGCTGGGACGTTAGCTTTGATTTTTGCCTTTTTGACCCTGATCCGAGCTTTTTCTCTGGACTCATCAGGAAAATGCAAAGAAAGCCATGATCCATTTCTCTTTGCTAAGTGCTATCATCTTTTTGTCTCAAGATGACACATTTTCTTCTATTCAAGTAGCTCCTCTTACTTTATATTTTATTTTATTTTTTGAATGGCAGATTTTAGAGAATTCTAAGAAAAGTAGGTCCTAATGCTGTTGAGCAGAAACAGATTTTCTCTCGTGTTACTGAGAGGGAACGCGCACTGCAGTTGCTCTTACTCTGGCATGATCTTATTGATTTTAAACTTCTTTTTTTTTTGCTTTTCTTTCTCGTGGCACTGAGAAGGAGTGCGGAGTATTGTGAAGGCAGATGATATATTTCCATTATGGAGTTTAATTCTGGTGTCTCATGTCCAAACTGCTTTTACGTCCATCACAGGGGGGCAGCAGAGGCACACTGCAGTGTGACCTGGTGTGTGAATTATTTTCACCCTTCAAAAAAAAAAATCAGCTTGGTGTCATCAACGAAAATAAAATTAACATTTGCTTGAAGTGTTTTTTTTCTCTTTTCTGTTTGGATTTCGACCATTCACAAGTGCAGCAATATCTCAGAGGCGAAAGGTGCAAGGAGAGGCGGAGAGGTGAGACGCAGAGAGAGGCTGCGGGGCTTTTATGTGGCCGTTTGTCCTGTTTATGTGTCCCTGCCTCTCCTCTCCTCTCCTCTTCTTCATCTCTTCTGTGCGAGCTGCATTGATGGCAGTGTGCCTGTAATTGATGGCACCATATTGCTGTGGTGTAGCAGGTTTAATGGGGCTTGACAGAGCAAGGGAAAGCAGCATGCAACCAAGGATGGAACTTAACCCTTTCACACACGCTCCAGCCTCCGCCCCGTCCTCATACACACCACCACCACCTCCTACACACTAGTGCATGCAAACACAAATGAGAATACAAATACGCCCTGG